CGATTCAAACTCCCCGCGAAAGTATCACGGGTGAAATGCATTTACAGTTTTCACCCCGATAAGATTTTCTACAGATACGCGGTGATTCGTCTCTTGACACATTTCGGACCAACGTCCCTCTTCGCGCCACGCCGCGTTCTGCGCTTACAAACATGTACAAACAATGTGCTCGTACGCGATCTAAAATTAAAGATGATACCACGGGTGATATTCAAATTAATTGTTATACGTTTCATAACTAACATGGGGTTGAGAGTTATTCTGATGGAGAACAACCCCTTCTCCAAATATGAACGATGGCTACTTCCTTCTGTACGGTTGCTTTTAATTTATTCGAGTGGACTTATTATAGAATGTAATATTTACCTTTAAACTTTATTAATAGATATCACGGGACAAGAAACATCCGGACCAATTTTATCATCGTATTTACACTCGCTTCTAATTTGGTCGATGACGGCGTTATAATAATAACAATATCGTAATAAATTCTACGACGAAATAAATCGAAGCGTTCCAAACGCGGCGCACGACGGGTTAAAATAAATAAATCGGAGATTAAAGGGGCACCGCCGCTTCGTTCCATCGACAAGCTTAAGCAGCGAAAATATTGTTTTATCGCCCAACCGTTACTCGAGATCTTCATTTTCCTTCGGCGACAAATTTTCGTTTGCGAGCTCTTCTTCTTTCCGTACGAAATGTTTGCGCCATCCGACGTATCGCTATTCTTTCCGAACAGTGCAAACATCAGAGACGCGATTTTAATAAATAAATCAATCTCGCGTAGATCGAACACTTGCCGTGGTGTTTATTTTCTTCCATTTTAGCATAGAAGGTTCACTTTAAATTTTCGTTCACGCTAAAAGCTATACCGACTAATTAACATCGAACGTATTACTGCATGATTTATAATAGAAACAGAATAAACCGTTTCTGTCAGTTTTATCTGCGAACTGAACGTAACAAATGCAGTCCAAAGTACCGTGGTTATTGTCTTTTATTTCTTTGGTTCGCAGCTGTATCTGCAATGTAGTCAATCTTTCGCTGCTCGTATACAGGGTGGAACACGATCGTTTCAAACGACTCGTTAAATTATTTGCTCTATCGAATTAACCGAAATTTTCACATTTTTTGAATAATTACCAAAATCGAATTTTACGAGTCAGAGTAAAAAAGTTCTCTTTTCCTGGACCGTGTTGCATCGGGGCCACGTGAAAAATAAAGCGAGTGTTTATCATAAATGTATTGACGCCGCTGCATCATCAAGTTTAAGGTATCGCTGACCTTTGGAAACGCCCATGCCTGATCGAATTTCGATTATGTACTTGAAATATCGTGAACCGGGGCAACGCCTGAACGAATACTGCATTGGCGTCCCGACGCCCTGGCTCCGCCAGGTACGTAACCATCACGCATCATCAGCATTTCGCAAGACCCGGTCACACGAACGATTTTGAAATCGTCGAATTCATAGTTTAAAAATAAAAAACGATTTCTATTGTTCGTCCGATCCAAACGATTTATCCGACTTGAACGTTTAAAATGCTCGTACAGCCGTTCCAAGCTGTTTGAAAACATTTCTTTTCGAATCATCCTTCACTTTTCACGTGCAACTTAATTTAGAAAATAAAGAAACGACACGACTAATCGTCCGTGATAATAGTTTTCAGAAATCAAAAGTTCTTTCTGTTCGGAAGTCAAACATCGCGTATACTACACAGTTTTTTTCTTTGAACTATCTTGAATAATGTTGTAAACGGCACGGTTGCAAACATGAATCCCCTCTGCGATCATTTTGCATGTCAGATGACTGTGTCGGGTTCGTAGGAGATCTCGTATATTCTGTATGTTTACATCGATTTAACTAGAGGAGGATGTAGGCCATCTTTGAATCGCGTGATCCGCTCAAATATTTTTGAACGTGATAAACGTTCATCGCCATAAGCTTTTCTCGTGGATTCGTGGAAGTTTTTCCAAGTTTAACACGAAACTCTGTCACAATCTTTTCGAAGGATTTAAAGGGGATAATGTTTATAGCGCCGGACGGTGGCGAAACGAATCCTGAAAGGCTGATGTATGCGTAGGTGCACAAGACAGAGTAATCCTTTCTGCGAGATCAAGGTTAACGGAGTCTCGAAGACAGTCGCCAATTAAAAGGAAACGGGAGAAGGATCAAAGCAGAAAAAGGATTCATGAATATTCTGATCGTAGAAACAAGATCGTGATTCCATTAGCCATACAGTGGGTCATGGAAGTGTTCGAACGCTTGGAATGAAAAGCTTCGATGCAAAAGATATGCAAATCAAACTGGAAAGTACGGAAAATTGTTGCAACGAGGCTGAGTATAATGTCGAAATTTGAGGAAAATCTAACAACGTGCGTTGGAAATATAAAATTTTTAGAGAGTAAATACTATTTACGAGTAATGAATGAAAAATCATAGATTCGCGATTTGCAATATTTTGAAGAGATCGATAGCCCTGAAATCTCTGAAGAAAGAATCGACAAAAATTTAGTATGATTTTAAAGCACTTTTCGAACCATTGGACGAAAAACAATTTTGTAAGCTGATAACACAATGCTAAAGAACTAGAATGCTAGAACTAGAACAAGAGCTTAGGTAATTATTCTGTTGAAAGTAAAATAGAAAAAATAGAAGCGAAAGAAAATACATTCTCGGATTTTATTCATTAATAGGTAAGTAGGTATACATAGGAAAGTGCTTCAAACTTTCAACTAAGAAAGGAACATTATGTTCCGTTAATGGTGACGAAACTTCTGTTAACTACCTCAACAAAGCATAAAGTTTTAAAGTGAAAATTTGCCTGAAGATTCAATTACCATTTTTTAAACGAAATTTGTGTCCAATAACAAGGAGTAAGAATATTACTTGTGTAAGGGTGAGAATCTTCTACTATGCAACATTTAAGGGATTATACCTAATTTGTCGTTCTTATTTGAATGTGAAAAACATAAATTATTATAATTTTATATTTTAATTCTATCGATTATATTGTGATTATTAAAATTGTTCTATAAATGTATTTCTATAAACAGTTGTATGGTATCGAAATGGTCATAATATGTATTTGTATTTTCTACGATGTCCAAACTGACGTTTAATTGAAACGACACGTCCAATTACATTTAATATATAAACAATATTATTATTTGTAGTATGTATTTATGTTATCAGTTATTATCAAAAAGTGAATAAGGAACAACATTACTTAATGAGAAAAACAATAGTTATGGTTATACTCGTTATAAAAAGACCTATATTTTCGTATTAAATTTTTACCACCATCGTTCGAACGATTATATTATGTCACTGATTCATAAGTACTTGATCTTATCACCGGTAAACAGAGTTTGACTCATCGAACTGTTATTTATGAACATCGAAGTTTATGTGGTTTTATATGTATCAAGACAGCAATAAAGGGTAATGACACTGCAATAATTATAAAAAGAAATTGCCAATAGAGAACACTGATTAAACTAAAGTGTTTTGCTCAAATGACTTTATCGCTCATGAGCCTTAAAACTACTTAGTATTTCCTTAATCACTGATATTCGATTAATCTTTCTAAATTATCCACCGGTTTAATTACATAATTATATTGAACGCAATATATAGGGCGAGTCTAACAACTGGAATGAACTATAATTTTGTTCTTATTAAAGATAGAAAAAACTTGCAGCCGAAAATTGCACTACACGATAATAGACCATATTAAACAATGCAAAATTTTCCTCTACAATTTTGTTCAACTTCAATAGAGACAGAGTTATAATACGAACCAATTATTAAACTCACAATGTATTTTACTGAAGATAATTTAGATCAGCGAATTGCACGATCTATCTCCTAATAAATCATCGAATTAAACGACAAATGATACGTCGTGGCCGTAATTGTGTCCACAACTCCATTAGCCAACAAAATTTACCCTAACAATCTCACAATAGTATTTAAACGAGCAAATTTTGAACAACAAATGAACGAATGGTAGAACGAAATACTTCATTACGAGCAAATAAACATTCGACTGTTAAATCTAAAAACCTCACGAATAAACCTCATTCCCCTAAATTATCCAAAAGATTAATCACGCGATAATATATTTTATCGCCATTAAACAAACACAATTTTCATCAAAGAAACGTTCAATCTACCCTCAAACAAATCGAAATGTCGCATTGGTAATTGAGTTCACCACTGCATTAGAATCTATAAAAGAACTTAGTCACACGATACTGTACATTTTACCACCATGAACCAAAAACAACGTAAATCAAAGAACTGCTTAATCTGCATTCGATATTAAACGACACACGAATCGGTAACTGGCACCAAAACGTGTCCAATCAATCTCGTAAACTTATTCGAAGGAGCAAACATAGGCCCAACACTGTGTACTTTGTTTCATCGGCCCGCTCGATCGACGTGTCAACCAAGAAAACCGAACCCGTTCTTTCTTCGATTCTGCTGGTGGTCGAATCTATCGGTCGTAATTCGTTGTAATTTATCGTCGTTACAAGCTCGTTACCTGTTTCTCGCTGGGCGCGATACGAATCGTGGACACGCGTTCAGGAACGACGTCCGAACCCCCGACCGTTTTCTCCGCGCACGCACGGGGAACAACGAAACACGTACTCGCGTTTAAGCGATATTTACGCGGCCCGATATTGATCATTCAAAGAACTCGATCCCGCAGAAAAGATGCGCGCAAGAAGGACGAACGGATAACTGTCCAGGGAGGGCGCGTTCACACCGGAATCGATAACCGCGAGAAGCAGTCGCAGGAGGGGGCGGTCTACGATCATCACGATATACAACGTTTGGAACGGGTCGCGCGATGAAAACGAGTTAATCCTCGGTATATCGATTCGGCACGATCGAACGGCGTGCCTCGATTCGCGATGACAGCTAGTCGATAAGACAGACACTGACCGTACGAGAGCATTACTGGCACTGTCAACTGTTTTCGACTCACCTGTTCGAATCCGCCGGTGGGGCTACGGTGGCAGGGCCGATTACGAAACTCCCGCGACACTTGCAGAGCGACACGAACGTCGAACGTGTCGAATCTTCCGGTAGGTTTCGACGTTGCACCGAGGAAGGTAGGAGGTAAGGTGCAGACGACGGTGGCCGTGTAGAGTGAAAAACGCGCGAATAGCGAAGGGCAGAGGTCAAGAGAAAGAGAGAGAGGAAAAGAGCGAGAGAGAAAGAACGATAAGCGCGGGACGAGGGAGGGAGAGATCAGAAGCGCTGGAAAGATAACAGATAGCCGCGCGATCGTTGGTACAGTACTGTGTGTCGAACAATCCGCGAGGACGGTTGACGCTCTTTGGTGGGCCGCGACAAGCCCCGTAGAGAGCACACGGGACGCCCGATTCTCTGTCACAGCGGCATTTTCACTAAGGAAACGGTGGCCAGAAAGCGAGAGGCTCGCGGAGCAGCAAAAACCCCCCAGCCGGATCCCGTTTTCGTAAACGCTCTACTCTGACTATCCGCGTATCGGGAGCGACTCGTGTTACGACCGCGCATGCGCATCTCACCGTAACGCGCACGCGTCACCGTTCGCTGCCGCTGCTCTTATCAGCGTACCGCTCTACTGCCATTGGAAACTAGGGAGCCGTGCGATGACGATGCCACTCGCGTACACCTCCCTGGCTCCTCGCCGCCCCCACCAGGCCCTTCAATCCTCACCGTGCGGCGTAGAAAAGGGCGAGAAAAAAGACGCCTGCGCGATGACACACGGGCAGGCGAATAATTTCATTCCGGTACGTTCGGATTTTGAAAGAAAAAAAAATTACTACATCGTTAGACGTTTTCTTTCCTTTTTTTCTATACCGTCACGCTTCGACGAAGGTAACGGCGATACGTATCGACGAAGGAACGAGGTTCCAGAACGCGACCGATATTATTTATTTATCCGGTGACTCGACGAATTCCTGAGTTAGGTTTTCTAACCTGTTCGGACATTTTGCCGAAACTTAAATCGTCCGTGGACCCCAAGGGGATAGATAGATATCTAGTAGATATGTAGTAAGAACACTTTACATCGTGTTACGACGTTCCCAAGTGTTTATGTTGTTTTTAGTTCCGTTTATCGACCCCACTGCTAAATTAAGCATCTGGTCTGAAAGAACAATTTTTAAGCTCTCGGGAATTTTTTTATATAAAACTCATTTGATCGTTGACACATATATTCATTATCATTTCGATAAATCGATTTATGTAAAAAAAAGTGCATAGTTCGATCTAAAAGACAAGTACAAGTAATTTTTCGATTAAAATAGTATGAAAGTAATATGTCAGAAAGTACTGTGGAACGTTACGTTTGGTCGATATCGGATTGTGTCACTATGTACACAGTGGCATGTGTGGTTATCTTTAGTATCAGTTGACAATATCGAATGATAAATGTGAATGCTTCAAACGGCATAACTAATATCGTCATTGTATAAGTGAGTTCGACTGAAAAGTTTCTAATCGACTCACTCGTGTAGGAGTTCGGATCAATGCTATAAATGATATGCATACACTAAGGTGCACCGTTTTTTCATAATTTATAGAAATGGTAATATCTGGTCCAACTTAAATCTAATCACCATTAAAAAGTTTATTCGTTATAGAAAATATTTTTATTAACGTATAACTAAATTGTACATACATACTGTCACGATCTTCACAGTTTTTAAAGCGTCAACCTCTTCAGGGATACTGATATAGAAGTATCTTTCGTTCTTCAGTTTGTTTAAATATTGTAACATGAACGTGACCACTAAAATTACAAAAAAAATATACGTCAAACATTTGATAAATGCCAATCAATTTGAATTTCGATTATTTTCAAACAAAATAATTCGTAGAATCAAACACGTGGTTAACATGGAGAATAGTCTTTTACCTTTTTTGTACCTAATCGTAATTTATGATGGATCCGGTATAGGAATTTGAGGTGTTCGACCTTCCAGCATATCGTGGAGAGGAATACTAATTTCCTAAAAGTATATTTAACTCCTTTAACATTTCTATTATATGCAATAGGAAACTGATAAATTAGTAAACATCTAATAAAAGATTGCAGGTAGTCATTTTCGCGTATTGGCACGTTGACTGGCAGTTTTTCAATTTATAGCACAATAAATAGAAATATCCAATAGTTCAATGAAGTACTTGTTATATTGTGGCATTTCTAATGTCAATGGCATTATTTAAATATTTACAAATAGTAAGGTAGGTTCGAAATGCCGGTCACCAGTGATCATCGTGGCAGTCAAAGTGTTAAGTTCAAGGAAAAGGGATCCGAAGGTGGCTTAAATAATTTAACGGGTAGAGCGGCCATCCAACAAAAATCAGGTCTGTAAAATCTGAACGACCGTCCGCTCTTCTCGTTGGAAAATATAAATAAAGTTGGGAAGCGGTGTACCTCTTCCCTCTGAGCGCGTAATCTGTCGATAATTGGCTCGTTAAAGTTGGGATCGTTGCTTAGATCCTCCAAGATAATATCGTTGCTCCTCGACACTTGCGGTATACGAGTAACATAAATCTGTTTGATGGTATCTAAAATTGCCATAGGTCTCGTCCGAGGAAATTGCAAATCAATCGACGAAAATGAATCCGATCCAGCCGGTACCGCTAATGGCTTCTCGAAATCTGTGCACTTTCCGTCGCTGAGATTTCCGATAAACACAGAACGTACAACTGGCAGTTTTTTAAATCATCGTTTAAACAAAATAACAAATCAAAATTATAAGTATTCGCAGTTATTCAAACAATACAATTCAATCTCTCGATCAACAGTGCTTTCTTAAATCGTTCAACTTGTATGTCTCTTTTAGGTTTATTAATTCTGAAGATGACCAGGTAATATTCGTAATTGAATAACAACGAAGACTTGTGATTTTATAATTTTTCATCGAAGCATGTTACACGTGAAGAAATTTAAATTCATTTAGTATTTAATAAAAGCTCACGGGAGTTGTGTGCCGAATCCATAATGCGATAGTAAATCTTTAGTTCTTCGTAGTAGAACTTTGTCTTTCGACGAATGATAATAGAGACCTGCTCCTAAGACGTGAGCTACGGCTCTTAGGGTTTTCCCGATTAGTTCTTTTTTATCCATATTTAAATCCTATCGTAAAGTCGCCAGAGTTATTCTTGTTTGTTGAGAAAAAAGTAATTTTTCCGGATAGATCACGACCATACCTTGAATTGGTCATATTTTCCTCCTATAATACAAAGTTTTACCGGGAACGGGTCCACTTCCCTTTCCAGCGATTTCTTTAGTTCCTTAATTCGACATTCTTTAAGCATCTGAATCGTTTTATCGTCGTAACTCATTTTTATAGCGTTCCGAAGTACCGAAAGTGTTTCTTCGATAGACGACCATAAAATTTCCGGTTGCGTCAAATCGAGCATCATCAATATAGTCTCGTGGATAGGAGAATGAGTCAAAGATGCACCTACCATTGCAGCTGCTATTACCGAAGAAGTTATGTCTCCTGTGTCCCAAACATGTACGGTATTTTTCACCTGTTGTGACAAAATAGAAGACAAAATTATATACTGATAAATATAATACAATCATTTTTAAATATTTGCTTATAATGCGTTACCGAAGAAAAGCTATAAAATAATTTCTGAAAAACGAGAATTTTATTTTAAATAAACTTGAAGCAGCGTAAATGCAGTAAAATTATTGTAAAAAACAAAACTTACTAAACTCTTCCCGGCTTTACGCCCAAATGAATAATTCATCGTAATGGTTGGTTTCGGTGCTTCATCTTTCTCGAGAAACCGATATAACATCGTTGTTTTACCCTAAGAATTCATATTTTTTCTCTCGTATTAACGAATAGAATAATTTATTGCATTGTTATTGAGTGTCTCTAGTTAAATTATTACGTACAACACCTTTACTGCCAACAGTGATGATAGATCGTTCGTGCGTTCTGTTTGGATCGGTTGTACGCTGTTCTTCTTCTTCTTCTTCCCAAAAAAGACTCGACCCTGCATCTCTTACGTTCTCTTCGCTGAAACATAATCACACTAATGTCCTCACACAAAAAAAGCATTTCATTTATTATTACAGACAATGGTTTCCAACCCGTGAGTCGCAAAAGTTATTTTTTAATTGCGATTACTTATATAGAAAATATTATAGAAAATTTTCAGCATTTATTATTATTTCGATATTATACTGATTTTTGTTAGATGAAGGGAGATATTTAAAAAATATGCTCGAATCTTTATTTTACACAATTTTTTTTAACACATTTTAATTATTAAAACACATACACGGTTCTTTACGCGGTTCATTTTCAACACGTGTTCATTATTTTAATTATTTGTTACGAAGAGGCTTTAATATATCTTTTTCAAATTTCCGCCGCGATGAACACACTCCCAGTAAAATACAGTAATGAGATTGGCTTTAACAAACACTCAGCCTCGAATTTTAGGCTGGCTGCCCAAGTGCAAGTATAACCGTTGCATTAAATTAATTAACTGTTAGGTCAAAATTATATTCCGAAATACTTATTTTTAATGTGTTTCTATTACTAAGAAATGCTTTTTTATTAATTTTTTGAGAGGTATTAGAAAAGGAGATTGTAACTCGAAAAACTATACATATTGTATAAATAGTAATCAAATAAATTCAATGTTAAATATCTTTATAAATAATGAGTATTGGTAAAAAGCTCGAATATATACGCATTTATTTTTCCCCTAGAATCGCCAGAAAAAATGAATAAAATCGGTGATTTCACCGGTGCGACCTCTCATCGTAAGAAAATACATATGTATTGTGCGACTAAAAGCGTATGAGCTATCTAGTGAAAACGTTTTATAGTTTTATACCTTTCTCATAATAAAATATTAACTATACACAAATTAAATACGTACGAATTTTGCTTTGTCATTGATCTCGAGTCTACTGTTCCTAACAAGTACAAACTGCGCAATAGTTACGCGTTCTCTTCTACGTACAGGTTATGATAGTGTTTTCGTATTCGTTGCTATAGTGATACGAAAGTTCATTCGCATAGTCTGTACGTATAAATATATACGTAGAATAATACTTCGTAAGAATTCATTAAATTCATCTATTCTCATTTTAAAAGATACTAAATATCTATATACATGTAATTACTCGACTCGTATCCGATTTGTATCGTATTAACAAGAATCAATTTATACCAAACATAAAAATACATAAATAGGAAATGAGTGTAAAGTATAACAAAGTTTCATACTGAATTGTTATTCATTTTTATGCAATTTTTATAATACATTATGCAGTGAAATGAGGTATGTTACATCTAAATCATTATACTCCTATATTCCTAAATGAACGCCGAGGGCGTAATGATTCAGTAAGACGTTTTCAGTCTTGGCAAAGAAATTCAAAAGACCGCTGTTTGTAATAATCAATCGCGTACATTTTTACGTAATTTTAAGTAGCGCGTAAAAATTGATAAAGTTTCAAACGCAGTAATGTGTCTCTGCTGGACCACAACACACAGTACCTTTTATTAACAAATTGTTTATGAATACAACCGATTACTGTAAAGTCTTCGTTTCTATACAAATTGGACTACACGAAATCGATAATGGAATGCATTGTATAATTAGCAGTTTATATTAAATTATAAATATCGTACGAGTGAACGCAATTTCAAAGGTTATTATGCAGTCAGGTGCGCCATATTGCAGTGTGATGTAAAATCGTAACAACCGATCACTTTATCTTTGGTCACAAGGGTGAAAGAAATATTTACAATCGACTATATCATCACTGGAATTTGTAATTTTTCCTTTTTAAATAGAAAGAGACATTTGTGGCGTCACGCAATCGATTACCGCTGAGGTTGCTATGTCTTTTATACCTTTCTGGCGAGTTGTATATCGGACAGTATCTTGTGATAGTCTATTGTTTTGTACATATGTATATGCGTAAAAATGCACAAAAAACAGGGCGTTCGATAAAAACTTCCTTATTAACGTACTCTAGTGAACCATGTTGAATAGGAAGTTATTTTTACTATTGATAAAATTAGTCTAATATCTGTTAATAAAAACAGATTAGCGCAAGCAATAGACGATATATATAAAACTTTTCGAACGATCGTTTTTAGATTTATTCTGAGATTACATTTTTCATAATCAGTCTAATCCAAGCATGAACACAACAGTAAAACCAGTCGTATCACACTTTTAATGTCTTATACATGTTTAGATCTTTACCATGTATTCGTTAGACCGAGTGTGAACATTTATGATTTTCGATTTTTGATTGTTTCAAAAAAGATTGTAATTTTAGAAAGTAGACGATACGCTTAAAATACACGGATACTTATACGAAGAAACATAATTTAGTACCTAAGTCTTGGTCCTTCTACTGTATGCCTAGTTTTGCATAGGTTAACCTAAATTCAATCGATTAGTAATATTTCGCAAGACATAGTAAGCAATATCTCACATGCCCAGTGATATTATAAGAATAAAAGAAAATAACTTTCGGTGATGTATACAGATTTATGCATAATTGTTCGCACTTGATATATGAAATTTTGCATTTGAACACTATGGCATATAAGATTATTTGGGAGACATAAAATATGTATAATCAAATTTAATAATCGAATTAACTTATAATTTGTAAAAATGTAATTAAGTTTAAATAAAACTGTTTTTTTTTTTTATTTACACATATTTTCAGAATATCGCATGAGAGCATTTTATAAAAATGCTATTTCAAAATTTATTATTACGTTACTATTATTAAATCGACTTTGCATTCCATACAACCTCATGGATAATATAAATACTTATATGGATATTCTGATAGAAGCCACATCTTTAAAAATCCATCGAAATGTTAATAGTTACCAATACACAATGCGTGCGAGGGAAGACGATAATAAAGATTAGTCACCTCTTTCTGTAATACTTCATCGCTTCAATTATGCAATATATCACACGCTCTGCATGTTATCTGGTCCATATATCACTCATCCAACTATCATCTAATTCATTAGTTGGTAATACTTTTAATTTTCGTAATGCTTCGAGATAAAACGTAAGTTCAGACGTAACGACACCATGTTGTGGACCACCATTATTCACTATATTCATTTTGACTAATTGTTCTCTAAGTTTTTCTTTGAAAGATGTATTTACTGTACGATATAATATTTGTACTTCGACTGCAGGGAGAATTCCAGAAACTGCTTCGTGCAGCTTAATTAAATAGCTGTAATTAATCATTAATTTTAGTCGCGAACGATAATGCAACGTCTCGTATAAATCGAGCGATCGTCGTAATACTCACCTAGAAATGTTTCTAAACGATTTCGACGGTACTGGCGGTCTCGCAGCCCAGTTTGATATTTGACCGCCAAGCAAATTGTCAACGATAGTAAGAATTTTCCCTTCAATTTCTTTTACGTGCGCCCGAATGTCCCTTTCGACGCTATCCAATAACGCGACACCGCCGCTTATACTAGATGTACCAAATCCACGGCTAGGATTTTGCTCAGCAAGCGCTGCAAATTACTCGTATTGGTCGCGAAATATTGATAATAATTAAACGCCACGCGAAAGGTAACTTACTTTGAAAGTGCGTCTTTACGAACGGCATAAGCCATAAAATTAATTTCAAACTACGCGCAGCTAATACGAGTATCGTACTGGTAATGGTTTTTAAACCAGCAACTTGCATCGCGCCTGCGCCAAGTACAAGTTGACAACAACGACAATTATAATGTCGCAATAATTCGGCTAAATGTCTTCCAATGGTTCCAGACAGGGCGATCAACTCGCTACCGGTTCTAGAATTATAAATTCTAATTGTCCAATTGTTCGTCCCAAAGAACGTATATACGTGTTCAAAAATTTTACGACCATTTTGGACTATTTCGAAACATTTCGTTTCGGGAAACTTAGTTGCGTACATTGTACGATCAAGAAATGCATATTGCAAACGTTACAGTACTCTGTACGCTCTGTACGTTCGTAGTGAAATGGTTAAATCAAAATATTACCTGCAATATTCATGAATCATTTGTATGAGCATTAAAGCTGTACCAACGACCGCGTATTTTTCATCTCCAACCATAATAAAGCTCTGAATATCATCTTCTTTTACTCTATCTTCAACCTTAAGCAGATTCGGCGGGAAACTCTTATTTTCGCACACGTACGTTACTAATGACTGAAATTCCGGCGGTACGTCAGCCTGTTTCCATCTTTCAGATTCCAACAAAAGCGTGAGCTTCGTTTTAAATTCGGCGTGAAATCTTTGAATGAATTTACTGGCTTGTGCCTGCGACACGATAAAATATGAATTAAACGTTATTCGTGTTAATACGATGTACGTACGCGATAATAATATGCATACCTTGAACGCGGATCTCAATGCTGTACATTGTTTGCCACAGAGTTTCTCGCACGTTTCTGTGAATCCTTCGACCAAATTCGCCAGTTGGCACACTTGAGCCGTCGTTGCCCTTTTGCTCAACCAAGACAATTTATCGTTCCAATTCTGACTGTCTTTCTCCTCCTGTTTATTATTCGCGTTTTCACTATTTGCCTTTTCTTTTTCGTTTTGTAATTTATCTTTATCGTTCGCGCCAGCGGAGAGCAGATTTCCCATTCGCTCGTGACAATAATCGCAAATGGATGTTATCATATCGTTAAGTTTAGTCGTCACTCGCGAATGTTCTGCTCGAGTTAATAAACGATCGGGTATCGTATCGTCGAACGTACCGTCGCTCACGCGACCAGCTGCAAGATCCACGGTGTCTCGCATAACATCGTGAACAGCCTAAAAGTTTTACGTTTATACAAAATATTTCTAATTATTTATGTAAAATTTAGTACATACTTTTACTCGCATCAGAAGAAACGTCAACGATTGTATGGTATTATGGAGTAACGTTAATCTCTCTGCGAGCGAGAGTCCGCAAACTTCGAGGGCTGCTGCTTGTTGATCGCTACAACAATCGCTCGCTGCTAAAGCTTCTATGATTCTTTGTTTCGTCACGGCGCGGACGGTTGTTACAGCTTCTTCTTTGTAAGTATCCACGAATTGAAAATGTTTTTGCCGCAAAAGACCAGAAATGATGGAAACAAGTTTGTCCTGTTCGTTGAGGATGTACAAATGATCTCACTGGGAAGAGATGGACGACGTTTTGTTTGCTACGACCTAAGTGTATATTCTCAAAAGCTATAGATCTACTTACACCATCCAGAACATTGTTTTCCCCTCCTAACGGTCTGTTTAAATCTGCGGTCGCGTATCTTTGGAACTCGGTAGACAACATTTTGTCTACAAGTTTCTCCATTTCCGTTAATTGAGAGCTCAGATGTCTAAACAGAGAGCAATGGGAGGCGCAGGTCTTTTAACTTATTGTTCATCATTAGTTGCGAAAATAATCGAGTTGGTCCACTCTGTATATAAACGTACCTAAAACTATGCACCCCGTTCAATTCCTGTAACAGTATTTCTTGCGTTGTAGCAATGAGATCCAATGCTGCAACATAATCTGGCGTCGATAACAATAATTGTATCATTGGTTGACTTTGATGTACCGTAGCCATAAGCTTTAATTTTTCCTGAACTAATAACCGATTAGACCTTGCTTGTTCCAATCTAAAAAGAAACAATTAGCTGCCACTCTATTTAAAAACAGTACCGACTTATTGCCGCGATAGGCTTAATTAACGGTGTGGCCTCTACTTGCAACAAAATTTTCGTTATATAATCATTTAAATTCATGCTCGTCAAAATATAATTTGATCTTCTAACGCCGTTAGCATAATTTACCGTAAAATTTCTAAAGAATCATTGACTAGGTGTTTATCAACTTGATGTATATTTTTCCTAAGCGCTTTTAGCACTGTAATAGTTTGCGTAAGTTGCTCCATCAGGGCATCATGGGAAGTCATAGCATGAAAAAATGCTTGAGACTTTGAAGCAACTTGTTCTGCTATTCTAACTTCCACGACATCTAAATAATGACTTAGCTATTGCAAAAATAAGTAATATATTAGGTATTATTTACCTGTTTTCTTTTTTTTTTTAAATTAATTGTACATGCTTAATTATTGGTATACCTTTTCTTGCATTTGCTTGACATAAATAACAATGTTAGATTCCTCATTTAACAAACCACCTTTTACAAACGGAAATACAGCGTAAAAGTTATCTTTTTGCGAAAGATCTAAATTGGGCGTTAAAAACACTTTTGGTACATTGGCCAAATCATATTGCATTCGATCTGCAACCATTATTTGTTGAATGTAACAATTTTGTATTGTACGCTAAAACCAACATTATTATTTAACTTTCAATCGTACAAAAGTTATTCTTACCTAAAGACTTAACTTTTCTTAAATTTGGAAAGTTCTGTAACAATTCATTAGGCGTGGTCGGTCTATTGGCATTTGAATTCATACGAGAATGTTTTCGATATCTCTGTAAATAAATAATTTATTGAAACGGTGGTTTTCTTTAAAGCAGAACGTTTAATTTATGTTCACAAATACAAAATGGAGTATCAAAATCGGAACATCTAAATACCTCCATTATTTATGGTCGTACAAGGAATCTACTAGGGATGAAGTTATACTATTTCAAAGAGTGCATGTAATAAGGTAGAAAAATTTGTTCTGCTTTATATGAAAACGTATATTTTTTTTCTTCACATTCTCATAGAGGGTAAAATGGCAAATTCAACCAGTGTACCGTTCTGCTCATCTAATCTCAAGATACTTACATTTTACTTACGCATTCCAAAGTTATATCTAACAAGAAAATTCGATTTCATCAAATTTTTGTAAGATGATATTATATAGGTGCCTAATTTAGTGCGTGAAATATTTGACGTAATTTATTGAATTTTAAAAATATAAACAATTGAAGTTACGTACCTGATCATGTGCTATCAATTGATTAAACTATTTATAATAACGGAGAATGCGTGGAGCGAGGGACACATAAGAGTCGAACATCTTTCACTGTATAAATGATTTGTCTCGAATATTTTTAACTTTTGCAATAAATGAAAATCATATTAATTTTTTCCTATATAGTATACTGATGCATTGAAATGCTTTTAAAGTTTCAATTGGAAGTACCGAAGAAATAATTGCCCTTCTCGAAAATGTCTTTGGTTATTTATCCTCAATGATATACAAGATGTTCGACTACCCCTGGGAAAAATTTCAATGGGAGATTCTAGAGGCCAAAATAAGACGAAAATCAAGAATATGAACTTGTTGATTGAGGCTTCGTTAAAAAGTTATCAAAAAATTAAATTAAAAAATTTCAAATCATTTACGGAAAAATTATTTTCGGTTGCAGAGGTTAATTACACACATTTTTGGTGAATAAACATACCCCCGAAATCCTACATAGTTTCGAGAAAAAAATTCAGGAAGATGGACAAATTTTTCGACAAAATTAAAAAATTTCAAATCGTTCTAAAAAAATTATTTTTGGTTGCAAGGGTCAATTACAATCATTTTTTATGAATACACATACCCCCGAAATCGTATATACTTTCGAGAAAAAAATTCTTTACCGAAAATATACTGTATGGCCGGAAATGTTTCTCCAACTTTTTAACGAAGCCTCAATCAACAAATTAGTATCCTTGATTTTCGTCTTATTTTAGCCTCTAGAATCTCCCATTAAAATTTTTCCCAGGAATGGCTGAACACCCTGTAATAATATAATAAATGTTTAATGAAATATAAATTCATGAATCAATAACTATTTGATAACATTAGAAAATGATAATGTAAATATTTTGAGATCGGACGAATGGAACAGTATATTGTTGAAGGCGTTTGATTTTGTTATTTTATCTTGTATAAGGATATGAACATTTAAAAAAACATCGATGACCTTATAATCGAATAAACAATTGATCTCGAGAAGAAATTATTTCTGTCGTTACATGGTACCTCTTAACCCGTTAATCGCGGATGACGAATTAACTCGTCACGAATATTTGAAGACAATGCGAAGGATTGTTTATTTTTTATCACCACGATGATTCGACATCTTCGAATGTTCGAACAACGTTCAATGAAGAAAGATAGAAGATTTTAATGGAATTTTGCTTACTACGGAAGAAATAGCAGAAAGAATAGGTAGAGATGGGGATAGGTTATAAAAATCGATGGTCAATATATATCGATAACTGATAATAAACATAAGTATTAATTTCTTGCTCGCATAATCAGCATGAGAAAATGACCTAATATATCAACAGTACAGTGGAAAGTTGCATAGAACATTCTTTCTGACTGAATATATCAAAGGAACTATTGCACAGTATGTGGTCTCCGGTTGATAGATTAAAATAATTTTGCCATAAGGAATTTTCTCTAACCATAAATAATAGTAATATTCAGATATTTTGGTGTAAATGCCCCATCCTGTACATGATTTACCCTTGCAATCTTCTTTAAATATGATTCAAAATGCTGCATTGTAACTTCAGGAAGGTACGGGCTCTTAGGGATATCGACTTTCTCTATAAATCCGTCGCCCCAAGTACGGGTTAAGAAGTTACTTTGTTTCCCCTTAAACGGGTCATTTAAAACTGCTGGTAAGTTTTGTGCTGCGGAATACATGGTCCATGACGAAGAGGGCTCCGACAACTGACCATTGCTTTTACGTTGTTGCTGCATTGCTGCGTGTTTGGTAGCGTGTGCTACATAATCTTTATCAGAAACACCCTCCACGGGAAGACTGGTGCATACTCCATTATAACCGTAAAGGCACACGAATGATCCACCTTCTCTAGAACAATGTTGATCTCTTAAATGTCTGAAATAAAATTACATACTGTCAAAGAGCAATAACGTCATATTGTGCTTGTCAAGTTAATAATATGTTTCTTGGGAAATGTCCGTCTTAATGTACTAATCACTTTTTTGTTATTCTAACTGTTCGTTTCAAAGAAATATGAGTAATATGGAATCGTTCAATTTGTAATATGTACAATATCCGGAAATCGGTCGAAATAAAAATAACTTCATGCGATAATTAGACATTAGACAAGTGGGCCTACCTTACAAAATCTTCTATTTGCTTGAACGTAAGGTTAGTGCAATATTCACAAATTAGAATCGTAGGCAATGTTTCGGATCCTTTCACGATTTTCGCCATTTTCCATTGGCAGCGTTACTTCGGCATTCTGTCGCCGTTTTGTTTAATTTATAGTTCATCGAAGTCTATCAAAGATAGCTACACTTACGACGACTACTTAGCAATATCACTAAATCACTTACTCGCTATCGCCCAATGTCAGGCATATTCTTACTTAACGAATACACGTTTCACGATTCGATCCATGCTGACCAACAAAGAAGTACAACGTCACGATAAGCCACGGTTTCCATAAAAAAGTTCCCAGATATAATAGCAATTGTTTCAGTTTTGCGTGGCATATAGCTAAGCCACATTTGATTTACGACATGTATGTGGAAACATTTGTGGTACTTATGCACCGATAATAATCGATTCATACGCATTAACTAATGATCGTTGTTTTCATTATAATTATTTATATTGGTAAAAAAATGCAATAGATACAATCTAGGGATTGTTAAGTAAAAATATAATTTAAAAACAAAAGACTTGCAAGCATTAAATAAACATTAGTTGATAATCTTATTTGCAGTTTACGACCTACTTTTAACTGACACGATTTAAAAATACTCAAATTGATATGAAGAAACTTTTGTTTGTAACGTGAAACGTGAATTGAAAATATCCGTTTTTAAATTATGAAAATATTTGTTTCAACTACGAAGAAATGTTCTAATGTAAATTGATAATGTATTTTATATAATAGTTGTTTGGGTTTAGTGTTAATAATTGATTTCTTAATTTCAAACAGGAATTTCTGGATGAACGACGATATATTCTTCGTTTTTGAACATTTCTACGCAATATAAACTGCGAAAGAATACTTGTACAAGTTCAAAACTATTCGTTCGTCATTATTCTTTTTTATTGGTAGTTGTAAGGTTCCACTTCAGCCAGTTTTATAAACATTTTAGTAGATCATGACTCATATTATCTTCGTCGGAGTTACTAACGCGTATACGTGTAAAAAATAGTTTCGTTTCTGCTTTAATTGGGCATAATTACCGTTTAAAATTGGTTTCGTATATGTAAAGTCGTCCAATAAACGTCGTATAAAATTGTATCACAAAAACAACGAGTAGAAACGTGCCTTGTATAAAAAAGTAAAACATATTCCGTTTAACAAACTTAGGTAAATATGAATCCGAAAATATTATCTTGTTCAAGTTACGCACGAAATACAGTCCTGGTATTTAAAAAAGTGTTCGCATCCGCTGCTTTTTAATTGGCATTAAGCAAGGCAATATTTTCCAATTCTACAACAATCTTTCATTGTCGTCGTGTGCCCGCATTCTTATAATTTATCGTCTCGGTGCTCGATACGTGAGAAAACTACAGTCACGCTCAAAGAAGAATATGGCGAAGACGATGTAAAAGCATTTCTAGCCGCATTGACAATATCATTTCGTTTCTCAATTACTTGAACTAAACAAAAAAAAAATAAATATTTTATTCTGAATTACTTGGAACAAAGAAATAACTTTCTTGTCAAATTGGCAAGTAATATTAAAGCGTAATTTTCACATCGTCTTGCCATTTATCTTTGGTCATTTAGACGCGGTAAATTCTTGGTTTTGTACGAATTTACGAGACTATACAATATACGTATCTTGTTCGATAAAAAATCCAACTGTACTAATATTTTCTTTCAATGTAACTGTAGATTAATCGCTTCGAACACCAGTCGTTCTTTCGTTTCACCTACCGTCTGACCAACTGACCATGAACCTACTTTCTCAATGTTGTTTCGCCATAATGTTTGTATTTTTGCCATCGTCAATTTTGTCGACTTTCGTTGCTAGAATTGTTACTCCCTGGCAACGGAGGCGGCGCGGGTATAATCTCGTTTATCAAATTTTCACGGTTTGGTTGTGTTTGTTCTTGATGTTGGTGTTGACTTCGGTGCACCTCCAGTGCCAACAACTTCTGTCGTTTCTCCTCCATCAGACGTTCGCGATGCTTGTGAATATAATCGTTCACGTTTGGTAATCCCATTATCACGCAGGCTGACACTGCTGAGCGATACACGTTCATGTCTGTTGCTTCGTACCTATGCAAAATGTAAAATTGATGAATACCTCTGTTACTCTGGAAGTTAACGTACACAGAGGTTGGCGTTAATTTATGCTTAAACGTCGAATTCGATAATTTGACTCCATTATGTATCAGATACTTTATGTCTTTCGTTATTACCGAGAGTTTTTAATATAAAAGTTTATCGATTTTAATTTTTAACTCGTCTTAAACGAACTGGTATTCCAAATAGGCTACACTTTTACCATTCGTTTGTCTTTTCGTCGTAACATTCGACGTGATAAATCGTAGTAACACCGTTGAATCCACCGATCGCGAATATCATGTCGTCGATTACTTCGATCGCGAAATTACTGCGCGAATTATACATGTCCGGAATCGGACTCCACATATCCGTCGTAGGATTGTATTTTTCTCCGCTGCACATTCTGGATATTCCGTTAAAACCTCCTGCAAGTAAAGTATTCGTTCTCGTGAAACTTTGGGAAATAAAAATGTTCCGCGGTTCAGTGTAGAAATTAGAATAATTACCGATCACGTATACGTGGTTGTGATAAGATATGCAAGATACTCCGCTTCTGCGCGATCTCATTGGAGCTATCAGCGTCCATTGATTGCTTTCTGGATCGTACACTTCCACAGAATTTAAGCATTCGTGACCGTTGAAGCCGCCCGTGATGTAAATTTTGCCTATTTTATTATCAACAAATAGGGTAACGATTACTAAGGTTGCGCGAAGGAATTTGTTATCGTGGAACGATAAATAAAATCGCGTTCTAGTACTATACGCATTAAAACTATGTTTATTCTGAAGAGGATGAAGTTTCCCAGACGTTCGACACGCCAATACCCGCCGTTAGATTGTTATTACTCCGAAGGCGTTGGTTTGCATAAGTTTAATTTATGCGCATATATTCCTCCTATAATAAACTATTGAATCATATTGGGTTCGTGAATTGATCTCGATTCGTAAAAACTGTACAGGGGAATTTATTTTCTTTAAAACATTAGCAAATCGAACACAATCTTTTCGTTAAGCATTTGTAAACACTTGTTTAACTCTCTTTCAGTTTGTGTTTGGTTCACGTAGTTTATTTTAATGTATTGAGACGTACCATTCAAAGTAGTTGCACTGGCGTCCGATCTTTGGCAAATCATGGGTGCTATTAGGGACCATTGATTCGTCTTGTAATTGTAACGTTCTGCTGTACTCTGTCGATAGTACCCATCGTAACCTCCCATCGCGTAAATCAGGTCATTCAGTACAGCTACGCTAACGTAACACCTAATATTCGTGTCGTCACCTTGTTAATATAAATGGCAAGACACGTATTCAACACTGGCACGGTTGTCGTTAAAATAATTAAGCGAAAAATTTACAAAGTTGTCAGCCGAGCGAGTGTCGAAATGTTCGGTATTTCGTAAAAGTTTAAACGTTTAACCTTCTGGCATTCATCGGGGCAACTTCTCTCCAGACTTTAGTGACAGCGTTGAAGCAACGACAGCTATTAAAATAATCTGCTCCATCGAAGCCACCAATTACGTAAATATTAAAACCGACCACCGCAGTTCCGTGATACGATCGAGGACCGACCGGATCTACTTCTTCCACCTATGAAAACAAAAAAACAATATCACGCAGTAGTCTACGATTTTCTTTTTAAAAAATAACGCAGAAGGCGTGAGAGAGTTACATGTCTAGTCAGAATTGTGTCAGCCATTTTTTCTTAAAAGAACTTTCTTCGAACGTGCAGCATAAGCTACATCTCGTACAGTTTTCATTAATTTTATTTGAAAAAAATACCGTGTATGCTCTAAACATCAATAAATATATATAGCGAATCTCAATACGAAATAGTCTACGGTTTTCTATTGAAAAAATAATGAAGAAGACGTGAGAATTACATGTGTAGTGAGAATCGTGACAGCCATTTTTTTTTTAAAAAGAATTTTCTTCCATGAGCTGCAGCTCGTACAATTTTTATTATTTTTATTTGAAAAAAATACCCTGTATGCTCTAAACATCAGTAAATATATGTAGCGAATCTCAATACGAAATAGTCTACGGTTTTCTTTTGAAAAAATAATGAAGAAGACGTGAGAATTACATGAGTAGTGAGAATCGTGACAGCCATTTTTCCTTAAAAGAACTTTCTTCCATGAGCTGCAGCTCGTACAATTTTTATTATTTCTATTTGAAAAAAATACCCTGTATGCACTAAACATCAGTAAATATATGTAGCGAATCTCAATACGAAATAGTCTACGGTTTTCTTTTGAAAAAATAATGAAGAAGACGTGAGAATTACATGAGTAGTGAGAATCGTGACAGCCATTTTTCCTTAAAAGAACTTTCTTCCATGAGCTGCAGCTCGTACAATTTTTATTATTTTTATTTGAAAAAAATACCCTGTATGCTCTAAACATCAGTAAATATATGTAGCGAATCTCAATACGAAATAGTCTACGGTTTTCTTTTGAAAAAATAATGAAGAAGACGTGAGAATTACATGAGTAGTGAGAATCGTGACAGCCATTTTTCCTTAAAAGAACTTTCTTCCATGAGCTGCAGCTCGTACAATTTTTATTATTTTTATTTGAAAAAAATACCCTGTATGCTCTAAACATCAGTAAATATATGTAGCGAATCTCAATACGAAATAGTCTACGGTTTTCTTTTGAAAAAATAATGAAGAAGACGTGAGAATTACATGTGTAGTGAGAATCGTGACAGCCATTTTTTTTTTAAAAAGAACTTTCTTCCATGAGCTGCAGCTCGTACAATTTTTATTATTTTTATTTGAAAAAAATACCCTGTATGCTCTAAACATCGATAAACATATGTGGGAAATTTCAATAGGAAGCAGTGTACGGTTTTCTTTTTAATAAATAAGAAGGCTAGCCTTAATATTGCATGTCTAGATCGGAATGACCCCTTAATGGATATTAAGTGTTATAATGCGTACCTTGACCCATCGATCCGCCCTGGTGTCGTAGGTCTCTATGAAATTTGTAGGGCTTCTACCACTCCATCCACCTATAGCGAACAGTATCTCGTGAGGTACTCTGGGTCGTGCAATTTTCGGCGTCGGTATTTCTCCGTCTTTTTGAGTGATGATTTCGAGGTCGTACAAAAATTTTAAAGTCTCAATGATAATGGGTCGGCACGCGTCGTTTCCGGTAACGTATGGGTGATCCTTTACATTCTCCAGAAAGAACTGCGTGTCCAATAGACCGAGGCGAATGTTCTTCATCAAATCGACTATGTAATTCTTTCGAGATTCTGGATCGTAATCGATCCATTTCAGCACCAGCTCCCAAACCGTGTCCTCGCTCTTAACGTTCAGCTCGTCGGCCCCGATCAGCGTCGTTAACTCTTCTATCGGCAAATCTAGAATTTCATCGCTTCGATGGGCTACCTACGCGCAATGAAACCGCCGTTGAAATTGTTGATTTTTATATCTGAACATGATCAATGGATCGTTCAAGTTTTCCCGATGAAAGTTAGTACAAACACGACTATACTCTAGAATGAATAATTTCTAAAAAATTTCTAATTTTTTATAATTCACGATAGTCGAAACGAAGTCGTATTTGGACTCATTTTGATCGGTACGACCTCGTCAATGCGTTGATTAAAATACATTGAAAAATATAAAAATTTCATTGTTCGTATTCTGAATAATTGTCGGATCGTTTATGAATATTATCGGATATTTTATGGCAACGAAGAGACAAAGAGTCATGACCTGCACAAAGTGTCTCATAACGTAATGATACGCGCTGTTCTCCAATCCCTTGCAAAAATGTTCTCGGGCAAATCTCATGACGGTGATGCAATTTTCCGGGGCTAGATTTTGCTTGAGGAACTCGCAGCAGAGATCAAGAACGCCCAGAATGTTTAAATAATCCGCGGTGACCAGCAATTGGCACACATTCTCGTTGTTCACGTTAATCGATCGCAAATAGGCGTATTCCAGAAGAAGATTCATCATGTTGCTGCTGACACCCGGTAAAAGGACGTCAGTTTTTTCGCGGGAATGCAACGAGGTTGTGAATAAAGTTCTACAAACGATTAATTTTTATATTACACAAGAAAGAATCGAACAGATATAGTTAGAATCTGTACAATTTAATTTTAGTGATAAGGAGTAGGTAAGAAAACGATATTTGGAACATAGAAATAATAATTGTACCAAATTTGTGAACATAAAGGAATTAGAAAACGGTAATAATAAAGTTATAAGTTGTTTCTTGAAAATATTGAAGAAAGAAAGGAGAAAGATCGCGTTTAGAATTATTGTTGCGTTTCGATTAGTCTTATAACTGTTTCCTTAGGATGGAAAAGTTAGCAGTGAGAAAAATGGCTGTACTGTCGGGACTAATTATAAATGTTTGTGGTTTCGACTATTTGTGGGTGACAAATAGTGTGCAATAGACCTGAAGTACGGACTGCAGGCCGACAAGATAGCTCGGTGAATCGGAAAGACGCCTCCATCTTCGAGTCTCAAAACAGCATCGCATAGAAGATTGTTCTGTCGAAAGTCATACAAAGATTGCATAGCTTGCGTGCTCATGCATCGGCCGCCGCTTTCGGCAATCAAACGCTGGGCGTTCGTCTCGCATGTATCTGTATCTCTGCTGCTGTCGTTTGAGTCTACATCCATATCAGATTCGTTCTAATCCGTGCAGAAGCCTCTCCGCGACGACAAATTGCGAATAACTGGCTCGTCACTTGAAAATTTTCTAACGATATCTTTAATCGTATCGACGTACCGATTCCCAACGTACGCAGGTACGTGAGCTTGTCGCTAATTGTCGTGAATTTTATGAATCGATTATCAATCTTGTTACAACGCATATTTATTTTTTTTTCTTCTTATCAGAGTAAAGAGCAATCTTACTTTTCGGTTTCACTAAATACATCCCGTCGTCGTGGCGTGGTTAAGTTTTCTACATATTGCGAATCGCTGAGGCCGAGCACGTTTGTAACCTTACCCGTGAAACGAAGTGTATTTCCGACTTTGACAATTTTCGTTTAGTCCAGTAGGTTAGAATTTCACGCGTTCGTCAACGGTTTCGATAAATTTCGTCACCGGTAATTTTTTTTCTTTTTTTTTTTGTCACGATTTTTATCTTCGAACATGTGATCGCAGCGAACTCTCGTGCCCGTCGGAGCGGAACGTTTGCGATTTAAATTTAAACGCGTTGCAATTTCGGTATGTGTCAAATTTTCTGTCACGTGGACGAACGGGTGGCGATGGGTGGCAGAAAGATGCAAAACTATGTTGTGTGATTTTAAAAGAGAGTAAATATCGCCTCTGGCTGTGACATAGGTCTTACATGTCCGCCGTTCAGTCTAGGACTGTCTTCCGACAAAAGAGAACGTTTCTGGCAAGATTCAGGATAGTACGGTACAAGGTGGCCTGGAATTACGGCCGCAGTTAGTTCTCCAACGAATTACTTCTGTTTATTTTCGTATTAAAACAAATTAAAAGTTACTTTAAACGCACAAGATGCAAATGTTTTGTACAACACTATGTATTTTCGTAATACGATAAGGTAAAATATATCTATATAGTACAATTAACAGTAGTCACGAGGTATTACGCTAAAGCGTCCCTAGCCAACAAGCCAACTTTGTATAGTACATTTACCTTACAATATAAATTACAAAAAGTATGCCTCGGCATTCGATGACGTCTATGTTTTCAAGAACAATTCACACTCACGTTCGAGTCACTATTTACCCGAGGAACCTCGAATTCGACACTAGTCTGTTCAACGACCGTCGATTTCACTTTCTTTTCACCACCACAATCGTCAACAGCATCCCCCTTTCCTTTCCTCGATTTCTCGCCTTCCTCTTCGTGGTGTTTGTCGTCCCGTGGTTGATCAGCCACGCTGTAAATGATTGCCGTATCCGACCATCCGTTAACGTCGTACAGGATAGAATTCCCTAGCGTCAAATTGTTGGAGGACACCATCGACAGCGTCGGGATCACCATATTTTCGGAAGCATTCGTTAAAAAGACGTTCCAATTACCGAGAAGCGGTTCGTGGGTCTCCGGAATTTTCTTAACAGGCTCGACTACTATTCTAGGGTTGTTCTGGGGCTTCGACGCAACGTCCTCCTGTCCGAGTATCTTGATCGTCCACGAAACCACCGCGAACGTCACCGCGTTCGTGGGAAACGCCCTAAGGATCGTCGAGCTCAGTCCTTTGTAAAAGCAAGAGTAACCCTCCGCCTTCACTGTTTGTCTGAAACAATCGAGTATCCCCGCGTAGCGATCGCTGTTCGCTTGGATCCGCGACTTCAACACGTCCAGGGGATAGATGAACGTCCAGGAAGCGGTGCCCGCGAGGCCACCGGCCATCAGCATGTAGGACGTCGAGACCGGTTCGTTGTTCGGAGTTCTCGTCAAGCTCTCGTACGTCAGGAAGTAAATCCCGAAGCTTGGTGCTTCTCTGAGGAACGTGACGTTCAAACCTCTGAACACGCCGCGTCTGCCCTCGTACTTGTATATGTGTTTCAGGCACTCGAACGGCCCGGAGAACCGAGTGCTCGACATCTGCAGCTGCATTCGCGTTTTCGTCAGCTCGATCGGGCTGCAGATCGGCGTTTGAGCGATCCCTGCCACGGCACCGGCGATAAAGTGCGTCGTTAAGGAGTCAGGGTTCGGTATCTGCCTCTGTGTTTGACCGTAGACGCCGAACAATATGGAGTTCACAATCGCCACGCCCGCCATTGGCGACGACATGCCTCTGTAGAAACCTGCTACCTGATAATATGGATTATTAGGTTACTAGAGCTAGTCATACGAGAATATGAGTCTATGCATAGAAAGATAATGTTACAGTAATAATTCGTAAAATGTACACGTGATTCGTAAGTTGAACATTTCTATCGCTTTTAACTGGGGGGATCCCTCTTGGGGTTAGTGAAAGACGAGTTTTAAAACACGATACAGTAATGATTCTTAAAATAAATCATACGTGATTCGTAAGTCGAACATTTTTATCTTTCCAAACTAGAGGTATCTCCCTTGGAGGCAGTGAAACAAAAGACGTTTAATATCTACTGATGTCGAATTTCCTGACCCTGGAGTGCTGTTCATTTTAAGAATCATTACTCTATTACGATGGAAATTTTTATAGGAGCACCATGATTTGAAAGTTCATTTATTCTATAAGTAACAGTACGTTTTCCTCGGGTTCAAGAGAGAGTATTGAAATTGAAATACAAAATTGTGCAATACTCATAGTATGATATTACAAATAATTTCTCTTATCAAACAGGAAATAACAAACTGGATTAATAAATCTAATGCTCGCTTACATCATTTTCTACAATTACGTGGCAAATGTGGCAAAAATTACTGTGCAGGTCACGAGAGAAAATTGACGAGCATTCAATGAAAATATACTAAATTTATTGAGCGTCTCGATAATTTTACGAGATCGGGAATGCACATATTATGTTGTAAATTGTTAAAATATTTGTATGTTCCCTCGTTTTGATTAATTACCGATTCTTTGGCGAATATCGTGCGGAAACAGTGCCAATTGCCTTTGTATATCGGGTTCCGATAATCCTGTGTTTGCATGTGGACCTTGATCGTGTCCAGAGGATATCCCACCACAACACCGGCACACCCTGAAATTAATTATGCAAATGTGTTTGTTGATGGAAAATAAAGTTCACGTTGTCCATAAATCGTCGGAAACTTTTTGTGAAATACAAATTAAGGTCGAAGTGTAATTTTCCAAAGTAATTTTATCGCCTTATTTTGTTATATTTATTTATTTTAAGTTAATATATTATTGTTTAAAATATATTTGTAATAACTGAAAGAAGGAGCTGTGAAACAATTAAAAAATTTAATACATAGAAGGTCACAAGTTAATTCCAAGAATGATTTCCAAGCAGCAATTTGTTTCATTATATACATATATCGTTATGTAATGACAGTTCGTTCTTATTCTGCATTTACCAAGTGTTCGATGACTTATGGACGGGAGTATACATGTAATACTACACGATATACTAGAGTAGGCTCTCGTATGACACGAAATCATCTTGTTTTTTGAAAGCGTTTTTTAGGAGTACTATTAATAATTTATTTTTTAATATTCTACGATGGCGAGTAACAGCTGCGCCTTCTCCATTTTTTTACTGAGATTAATTTTAATAGTAATAAATTATGCTCCAGGAAGGAAATAAAAAAATGTTGTTTATAAAGCAGAGTTGAAATAATTTTTCCGTTCCACGACTAGTTATGACATTAATTCAATATATTTTCATCTGCGTAAATCAGTCGTTCTTCAATAAAACTACAAGAGAGATCAGTTTAATTATCAATGAATATGTTATAAAAAAGCTAGTACACGATAGCCGTCACGCGATAAGACAATATATTACGATTAGCTGTTTAAACATTACCAAATCGTAGAGAAAGTATAGTCGTGGCAAAATTGAAACAGCATTTTTACATTTTGCTATTTAATTTTTGGCCCTAGGCAAAATATTAGTTCTGTCAATCGTAATAAATTAGCATAGCAAAACAATTCGTAGAGACTTCAATGCCAGTTAATTTATTTTTTGACAGAATCATTAATTTTTATTATTCTTATTCAAGGCTTACTTAACGTACTAAATAAAATGCACTTTTATTCAATTATTCGATACTTTTAAAAACGTTGATCTTAATATCGATTTCACTTACTAGTTCCAACTTATGACGTAGAATACTGTATTCGAATAACATGTTTGCGTTGCAAACAAGACACAATGTGCGATTCATAGCGCAAAATTGTTAACAAAGACTGAAAACTATGGTTTCGAAGTGTAAAGATATTCATTTGCTTGATAACTAACAAAGATTTCCATTTCCTCCAGGAATCTTGTCAATCGACGTCAACTTCATTCAACGAAAAAATATTGTATTGTCAACGAACAAAGTTTCGATAATAATAGTCCCGTAAAACGTTGATTATCTACCTCCCACGCATCCGGCGAAAAAGTCGAGGGCCATTTTCGTCTGACAGCAACTCCTACGCGTTTCTTCCACCCGTAAACAGGTTGCACGTCTCGAAAGTTGTCACTTTCGTAAAATCTTTCTGTCGCGCTCGCCAAGCATGAGTCGATGTAAACGCGAGTGGTGGATCGTTTCGTTTCCACAAAAAGAGAAGTGGAATCCATGTAAGATTGATCGCTGCTTTGTCGTACTCGTGACTGTAGTATGAATTCAAAGAAGAAATTATCACTCCTTTATAACCGTTCAGAGATTTACGGAGAGACAGAATATTCAGATTTACTAGAACGTTTAAGAAATACATAAAAATAGATTAACAGATGAGATTATCAATAGATCTAAAAGTTACGTTGTATTCTTTTTAATATATTGTGATGCTTTAGAGAGTCTTACGAAGAAATTAGGTAATAGTGACGCGAAATAAAAATAAATAATGCGTATGAAAAAAAATTGTAATTGTCAGGTTTTTTATAAAGATCGTTCGTTAGTGGAACACTTACCGAATGATAAGTCATCGCTGCATCATCAGGGGCGCGTCAGTGAACAATTTCATCCCTCTTTCATCCCTCCCTCAGCCTTTCAGTTTGTTGGATCTCTTCTGTTTGGAAATCTCGTGACTCGCTCGAAATAAAGCCTCCTCCATGCCCCTGTCGTCGAATAGAATTTCCCAGTGAAACTGACCGTTCCGCGATTGAAAACGACGATGCTCGTATTATCAACTTGTTATTGGTGTACCGCCACTGGCGTTTTTAACTTATTACGGCAATAATATTAACGATATTCGAGCATCTCCGTTCGACCTATCGCGTCGAAGAAACAGTATGAGGGTCAAACGCTGATAAGAGACCGTTTATGGCATCCAATCAAATTATTTGGCCGTTCGTTGGCGTTAATGCTTGATAAACAGCTGTTCTTCTTCGATTGCGTCTTTGCAATTTTATTAATAATTGAAAAATGTAACGTCGCTCGATATCGAAAGGCTAGACTTGTAAATAACATTACGTTGGACACTTTTCTCGCCCCCAAACGGAAACATTCTATTTGTTTTTGTTTCTAATGCGTATAAATAGAAACTTTTCGACGATTTCGTTCTCTTGGAATTTGTTTTGTGGTAAATGCAGGGCCGAATCAATGCCACTCGGTGCCCTAAACGTCTAAGGTGCTAAAAATTCAATTTTGTTTTAAGCCAAATAGGTATTGTATTAAAATTATTCGTTTAACGCTAAGTGGCAGCAGTATAAACAAATTACTTTCTTACGTATGATTAAATAATTATCTGTGCACGGTAACGGCTAATTAATTGCTCGTAAAGAAGTCGTACGAACGATATAATTTCTCGCAGAACCGTCGATTTTGTTCGGTAGGCCAACGAATATAATTATTCCGAGCCATACTAATTATTTAAAATCAGCCAAGGAATACGTCAAATAAATTTAAAAGGAAACTTTCTTTGGCAAAAGAATATGTAAATGGAGGCATTAATTTATCTATCGATCGACTTTATTCCGACCTGTTTCGGACTCGTACAATTATTGTTTCTTCGTTGAAAGCATATACATTTCTTGTCATGTTTTTATGCTAATATTTATCGGTATGTTTAAGACTTTCGTTACGGTTGAACTGACCGCGTAGAGCTCGACTGTACGGACGTAGTGGATATCAGTGGCGCGAGTAGAACGTGTTATATTATATAATTATTCACTTATTAAAAAGCAGTAAGCTTAAAATAAAACGGGGAATTAATATTATTAAAGAGGGATAATATGGAAAAATGTTAAAGCAGAGGTTAGGACAGTCCGTTAGGAAAGCCACTGTTAAGGTATTAAATATTTGTAAATTACTATTCCGTTGTCCATTTTTATATTTTTTGCGATCACTCGATAAATTTCGATCGATTGACACTTTATTGAAAAGACAGGAGTTAAAAGTTCTTAGCTGCTTTATTATTCAAACGATATGAAATCTTACGAAATGTCAAGCGATTCACAGATATACCTGTATCAAGGGAATAAATGAAGTTATTGCTGGTTTTATTTCTATCCGTTACAGCAAATGTAGCATAGTAGCACAAGGCTAGGTATAAGCACCGATAAAATTTGCTACTATTTTACAAAGTTGTAATATTACTGTACGATGGTGTCTTCTCATCTAATTAATTGACTTTGTAATGTAATTGTGAAGCTTTTTTTACTTACGTGAATGAAAAATGTCTTGAAGAGGTATATGAATAGACTTGGTATTATTTTGATTTAATACTTACCTTCACCACCCAAGAAAATATCAATTACATTTAAATCTTTTAAATTCATTATGCTTTTTCGTATGAATATTCTGTAACGAGTTTCTTTTCTTTTTTTGTTTAAGCAACACTTATTTTTGCTGGTACTTTTTGTGGTAAAAGATTGTTCTGAAACTGTTCTTCTAGATTAGATATATCAGACTTTGTATAATAAAAGTTGCACGAAAACAATTAGTACAAAAATTATAAAGATTTCATAAAATAAAATTGCCATAATTATAGCATATAACATGATATAATAACATATTATACAAAAGAAATCCTGTCAATAGTATCAAATAATTATGTAATATAATGGAGACAAAGTGTATAAAAATTCCTCGATAAAAACACAATATGGCGTACATAACAATATTTACATTGTACCGGAAAAATTATTTCCACGTTCTGAAACAGAATAAGTAAAAAGCTGCTCATTGAGAATCGACATCAGTTAACAAAGTAACCGTTTATTTATTTTTATGGAAATTTTATTTTGGAAATGCTGAAACGTGATTTGTTTGGAAGAAGTTCAGCAACCGTTTCGACCCACGCTACGTACACCATTGTCTTGCGTAATCATAAGAAGGGTTCATTGTCGTCTGAGAGATCCACAGTGTCCAAGGTTCGATTTCTAAAAATTCGTTCGATCTTCGCGGACATATTGCGATATTCATGCTTATTTTGTTTGCAGACTGGCAGCGACGTTTTCTGGAAACCTGTAGCGGTATCTCATTAAAACTGACCAGCACGACGCCGCAGGAACCAGTCATATCAAGACGCTCGACTTGTGAAAATCGTGACAGAGCACCGGAACACCCCTTTTTCACGCTTACGTCGATCTGGTGAAATGTATGCGAAAACTATACCGACGAAGCCGACGATGGAGGCGAGTGCCGTCAACGGATCACCCCCTGATAAGGTACGAAAGAATTAGAACGAAAATCCGGGGAACTCCAGAGACGTAACGCTTGCAATTAGCGAGGAAACGAGAGCGGTACAGCCATACTAGAAATTATTCCGACGGTAAATCATAATTTTGCTTCGATCGCGCGGTGACTTTTTTAATCGACGAATCCTTGAAAGTCGAATGCTTCTAACATCGGCGTTAGAAAAACCCATAATCGAGGAAAATCTGTTCGAGATTCATTTACTGAATGCACGTGCCGATTAACGCTATCGTAACGCATTTCGTAACTTTTACTGATTAACGTATGCGATTATGTTTCGTTTCGTCACGGCGAGCACACTTGTCAGACGTGGTTCTAAATATTTGTATATAATACCTTCGATTATAATATTAATTAAATATTATTTAAATTAGAGAAATATTTGTAATAATTATTTGAACTATTTATATCGAATTTTAAAGAACAGAAATTTGGCGATAAGGGCGTTTTTATTTATTTCGTACGATGCAAACGACCGGTCGATAAGATGTTTGTACGTATTATCGGAAATACGGTAAAATATTATTTTACACGTTCGATGAAAGTAAAACGTGAAAGTGAAATCATCGCGTATCTCAGCGTCGCAGAGTCTCCGATCGAATAATTATGAACGCTACTGTACATTAAATACAGCACTAGCTGTACTAGATATCGGGATTTTTAAAACGTGTTTCGTGCCCTTGAATGTCTTTCTCAATGAGCTTCATTGATACGCAGATCATAAATCAGCGATAGATCTTAATTCAATACCAATATTGATCTATCACCTAGAAATTAGTCGCAAATTAAATCGAACGAATTTGATAAATTTCGCTAACAAGTAATTAATATTCGCTGAAACCGTGAAACAGATAGTGATTTATTGTTGTATAAATTAAAATATGTTCCTACGCGTATTGGTGCGACGATAATTTATTGAAGTATGCGTTCGTGATATGCATACGTGTGTCGCGACAAGCACGATTTTACGTTATGTTTTAGTGACATAAGCGTGTTTCAGCCAATTCAGAAAACCTGTTTTCGCGGAGCAATAAGAGAAGGGACGTGTTAACGTTGCTCCATAAACATCAAAATGGGATGCGGGTATATTTTCTCGCACGTTACGCCACTCAATGTGCAACGTGTATCTTATTACACTGTTACAAAAAAAAAAAAATAAATGATCGATGCGTTTATAAGGATCGATGCGTCTGAATTAATGAAAGCTTGTCGACGAGCCAAGCTGGCGAATTTGAATTGAAATTGAGCCCAGGAATTTTGAACGATTTAATATTCGAATATTTTATATGTGCTTGAATGCTATAAACAAACCTTGAATATTCGAGCTAGTAAATTTCCAGTTTTGAAAAAAAGCAACGAATTCAACGACTTCTCGACGAGTCAAGCTTGTACAAATAAGCTAACACTTGAGTTTTCGAAGCAGTTCATCTGTTATGTTTATTAATTTTATCGAATTTTCCACATTCTTAACAGAGATCAAGGAAATATGTTGTAAGAATTTAACAATGAAAGATTTAAAAGAAATTCATAATACTTGGCAGTACTTGAAATTGAACTATCGAGACATATTTACTAGATGTTTCGTAGTCACTGTTTTGTAATAGTAAGAGTATTATTAATGCTGTGAACATGATTGTGCCCTAAGAATTCTGTTACAAAATCTCGAGAACACAATCATGCTTCTAATGTCGAACCTTGGTCACGTTCAACGTAAGAATTTATTATTGTTTAAATCAATGGAACTTTAGTCTTAAACAAACTACATTCTGCAACCATTTCTGAATATCATTTAATTATACTTAAGTCTTTGAATTTAGTAAGTCTTCTTCTTCGTCGCTTCTTCATAGTGATGCTTAGAAATAAAACGAAGTTTGAAAGCCAGTAAAAAATTTTACTGAGAGGTTTTGTCATATTTGGACAAGTTCGACAGCAACAAAGAAGTAAAAGGAAACTGCTTTGCTGTTGGTTACAAACTAGTACAACAATAGAGAGAAATGTATAATAAAAAATGGATAAATTATGTAGTTTGTTGATTAAAATAACAGTCGTGCGTCTTGTTGCTTATAGAGTGGCGCTCGTGTTTCGTTACGTGCGATTTGTGTCCATCAAACGCAACGGATTTCACATTCACCGCTGGCCAAAATCACTTTGTCCAGTGAAATCGTCCTTGGCATCCAAAGTATCCGTCTCGTAATTAGCATGATGCAAAACCGAACAAAGTTACATTTCGCGTTCCGGAGATTTTTCAAGATTTTGTCGAATATTTGACCGTTGGTCGAATTTTTCTTCGAGCGTGTCGCGTTTTTCGGGCACCGATGACACGCAGAAAATGGAAAATCCGAGCGTTGGAAACTTTCTAAAATCCTGGTTTTCCGGTTACACTGCGAAAAATGTGACGAACAGCAAATATAAATCTAAGGTAGGGGGATTGACCCTGAGCATATAAAATAGACGTGTGACGGTTTAATGGAGCGCAGTTTCTATAAACCTGTCTCGCTAGGAATAAGACGGACGTATTTCGCGTGTTCATCTTTATCGATCATCGTGAAAGGATTCCATCGGCGCTTAACGATGCTGGGTGTAAGAATCTCGAATGACATTTAAATAAACAATCGATAACCTCAAATACTGTGCAATCGCTAACTTTGTCTATTTACAAACAGTAACGTTCCGATTACTTTGCGCATTGTTATTGCAAAATAAGCAAAATACCATTTGTTTATCATTGCATTAGCGATAAGTTGCTTATCGCGAATACAAATATAAAAGAAACGTAGCACTGTTTATTTCCATTAAACGTTTCCATCCTTTCGTTCGAATTTCTCGAATTTGCACAACAACTTTTCCTATACTTTTTATCGTACAATATATTTACGAAACAGTTATGTACTCTTTTGCGACTGTTTACCTTCGAAAATAAAAAAACGTATCGTTCACGCTCAAATGCATTTTATTTTTTATGTCAAAATCAGAAAAGAAATGTTCGTATAGAAGAGAGCTTGTTTTTCTTTTTATAGAGCTCTGAGAATTTTTCCACAGTTGTTGTGTACTGTATAAATGACAGGATCATTAAAAACTTGATTGCATAATTGAATGGTAAATGCAAACGAATGACTTTTATTTGATCTTTACAAAATACAAAATATTAGATCATTCGTTAATGTGAATTTTCAGTGAATGTATTTTAATTTTTTTTTTTTTAAATCCCAGAAGAAAGAAATGGCTTAAAAATATTTATAAATATTTAGACTATTTTATTATCAAAATTTATAAGAATCAAAGCTGGGAAGTAAGATTACTTAAGGCCCGAACCTATCGCGAATTAAATGAATTTTTATAAATATGTTGATAAATCACATTGTTTATCGAACGCCCATAGGAACGGTCATCGATGTTACGTGATAAAAATAATTTCAAATATAATATGAAATATCTCGCAAATATTGAATTTTCAATAGACAATTTTGTCTTTAATATTTAATTTATAAAATAAATAATGTGTTTACCTCCTACCCTTAAATTATTTTAGTACACAAAGCGGTTCGTAACGGAAGTTTAAGACCGATAAAGATATTCTAAACGAAGTGGATAAACGTTGTACTTTGTTTAATTGCTAATATATTGTAGAGTTTATAAATTAAACATCAAATTGAACTTTTACTTTCAGAAATAATTTTGTAAGTCTATTATGAACAAGTCACTGGAGAGTAATTCATTATTTCAACGGTCTGTTTCCTCACATTTTGCAATACACCTCGACAAACTCCGCCATTTTCTTAACACTTTATTTTAAACGGAAGCAGCGAACATAGATTTTGAATTGTTCAACCGTCCATGTGTTCGTTCTTGATTCAAATTAAATTAATAAAATTTAGTATATAGCGATTGTATAAAAATGTGATTAAGGAAATGTTGTTGTTTTATGAAGCCTACACTCGTGCATGGGGGGAACTACATCAAGGAAGGTAAAGACTCTACTAAGAGCACTAGCCTAATCTTCTCTCCGAAAGAAAGTGACTCCGTTGGTGCGCTAGGCAAATATCTACAACTTTTTGCTGTAAGTATAATACAATACACTCATTGAAAAAGAATTTTTACTCTATTAAACAAATTATCTTGACCAGTAAAGGCATAGAATCTGTATTTTCGTTCAAACGAAACGAACAGCCGATGATTTAACCCTTCTATTGTGTTCTTTTCACATCAGCGTGGCTTTTTTTATTTATAATTTTATTCTAGTCACACGTATCGGCTCTATTTAATTTACTGTATATTTTCTAACAGTGAAGCCATCTTTTATTCTATTTATTGAAAAGGTGCATCATCATACTTCTTACATTAATGTTTAGGTGATTGTTCAGCCAAGGATAAATATAATTTTATTATATTCAATATAGTTCGAATGTTCATAAAGAAAATAAAAGGTTGTTAGACCAATGCATTTTATTGTTTGATATTTTTAAATGTGGCAAGCAATACACAATCTTTTAAACTATGTCATTCGTGATGATAAAACAATAATTGTAATTGTAACAAGTATTTAATTTTCATTCAACGTTTTCCATCGGAACAATACGATAATAATAATCTTCAGAACAAATTGTTCACGAATCATAAAAGTCTAATTTCATGAACAGGAGGGAGCACGAGACAATATAACAAACTGTGGTGTAATATAAAATTCTCGTAAATGAACAAAACAGCATAATTATATAACAATGTTGATCACGTAGGTAAATAAATGGCGAATTTTTGTATGAACACAAGAGAAGTGTTAAATGCAATATGAGAGAACCGAACTGTAAAATTCTTTATATACCAAGTGTCTCGAAACGAGCCATACAATCAAAAATAAATTATTGCTTTTCTGAATCGAAAGTGTTCTTTTTTCTACAGAAATTTGTAAATGCTTCTAATTTAAATTTGTCAGTCTGGCTTCCATACGAGAGTTTCATTAGAACAATTTCGTTTCCAGCAAAATGAAGTTAATCTGTTACATATTGAATCCAGAAGTTCTCTACGTCAACCGAATATCTATGAATTCATGGTGGAGTGCGCGCCGGGCGGAAAGCTCGACTCCGTGATCAATAATTTACGCGAGCAATGTGGTTATTTTTCGATCATTTCTAGGTGGATATCTGTAAGATAAAAAAAACAAACATCGTCATCGAGGTGACGTTACGCGATTTCAATCGTTTCTCTCGTTTGTAGAAATTACAAGGATAATATGGGAACAGTGCCATGGTTCCCGAGACGCATCAGGGATCTCGATAAGTTCGCCAATCAAATTCTGTCCTACGGATCCGAGCTCGACAGCGATCATCCGGGATTCACGGACTCCGTTTACAGACAGAGGCGCAAATACTTCGCCGATATAGCTTACAATTACAAGTAGTGAGTGAAAAATCACACTTTAAAAATGGAATCAAAGTTTTTTTTTATTAAAACACATTTCTCTTACGATTCGAATTACTATTAGGAAACGATGTTCTCGAATTACAAATGCTATTGTACTGTATTTTACAGTGTATCTCAAGAATTCTGTCCACAAAAATATCTTCGAAACTATTGATAAATGTTTTAATAGTTTTCCACAGGAAATGACTAGTTACATCGAATGTGAATTACGTTTACCTTGTTTATTCACGAAAGGAAAAATTACAGCAGATTATGCAGTCCTCGAAACCATTTAATTTTTTTTTCCAAACGTTTTCCGATGTTTAACTGGGCAGAGTTCGTGAAACGTACTGTATATTTTACTGCTATTATAATTGTCATTTTACTGTCTTCTTAAAATGCTAAAAAATGAAGGAAGAATAATGATAACTTGTTCGCGGTTTCAGCGGTCAATCCATTCCGAGAGTAGAGTACACCAAAGAGGAAACGGATACGTGGGGCGTAGTTTTTAGAAATCTGACGAAACTTTATCCAAAGTATGCATGCAAGGAGCATAACCACGTGTTCCCGTTGCTTATCGAAAACTGCGGTTACAGAGAAGACAACATTCCTCAACTGCAGGACATATCGAACTTCTTAAAAGGTTCCAACCGACCTACAAACTTATACATACAGCGGTTATTGCTCGAAGGCTGCTATATATTTGGGGAACTAACGCTTCGTAATACGAAATATACAGCAGATAAACAAATCGACACGATCCCCTTTTTGAAATATTTTTTTATATCTTTCAAACGTTGACAAAGGTATTACAAACACCTGGAACAGTTACAGAACTCTTTATCTCGACAACGTTAAACTTGAACGTGGTCTTTTTCTCCCAAAATTGTATCGAAAATGCAGACTTGCATAACTTGAATGAATTTAAGCTGTTCAAACATTCAACAGGTTGAGTTCTGTCGAGTTTGACCAAATCTACAAAATTCAAGTTATTTGCTTCAAATGAATGACAGCCTGAATAAATCTAAGCTGTTTAAACCTTTCATCAGGTTGAGTTTTTTCAAGTTTGATGAAAATATTGCATTTGGATAATGGTTATTCACTTGGCCATTCACTTCAAATTATATAAAATGCATCTAAGCTGTTCAAACATTTCAACAGATTGAGTTCTGTCGAGTTCGATCAAATCAAAAAAATTCAAGTTATTTGCTTCAAATGAATGACATAGCCTGAATAAATCTAAGCTGTTTAAACCTTTCATCAGGTTGAGTTTTTTCAAGTTTGATGAAAATATTGCATTTGGATAATGGTTATTCACTTGGCCATTCACTTCAAATTATATAAAATGCATCTAAGCTGTTCAAACATTTCAACAGATTGAGTTCTGTCGAGTTCGATCAAATCTACAAAATTCGAGTTATTTGCTTCAAATGAATGATGTAGCTTAAATGCATCTAAGCTGTTCAAACATTCAACAGGTTGAGTTTTCTCAAGTTTGATGAAAATATTCTATTTGTTTTGTCGTATTTTGAAACAGTACCGGTATAAATCGTGTAAATTTAAATAACAAACGTGTTTCGTGTTTAGTTCCATCTATATTCGTGTTTCGTAATTTTCAAAAATTCTCGTTTATAGATTGCACTGGTTTTACGCTTCGCCCTGTGGCCGGATTACTCTCTTCGCGCGACTTTCTGGCCGGCTTAGCTTTCAGAGTGTTTCACTGCACACAATACATCAGACATGGCAGCAAACCATTATACACACCGGAACCCGATGTTTGTCACGAAGTATTGGGTCACGTGCCACTGTTCGCCGATCCCTCGTTCGCCCAATTTTGTCAAGTTGTCGGTTTGGCGTCCCTTGGGGCTCCAGACGACTACATCGAGAAACTTGCCACGGTAATGATCCCATTATAGTTTTGCAAATATTATAAAAATATCCCTATTGCATTTCGATAACCGTGAAAATATTTTTGGAAAGTTTTACTAAATTAATTTCAAGTTAAAATTTCAATATAATTTGCAACAAAAATTGACATAAATATCTGAACACTTTCCAATAGAAATTCAATAATAAATAGAGTTATAGAAACTGTACGAATATTTTTGTGTATTTAATATATTAGATACATCTCTCCTAAAATTTTTATTAGAACGTTTGAAGGTACCGTTCGCTGAAATTGGTACAATTATTATGAATTGTGTTTCAGTGCTTCTGGTTTACGGTCGAATACGGTATCTGTCGACAAGGTAACGAATTAAAAGCGTACGGTGCAGGATTGCTCTCGTCTTTCGGCGAACTCGAGTATTGCTTGAGCGGTAAACCAGAACTCCGACCTTTTGAACCGACGAAGACTGCGTTACAAAAATATCCGATAACGGAGTATCAACCCGTGTATTTCGTCGCAGAAAACTTCGAAGATGCAAAACAGAAGATGATGTAAGCAAATCTAAATCCGAGTCACGTGTATCTTATCTTCGCGAAACATGCCGAATCTTCTGTTTTATACAGTATAAAAAATAGCCTGGACATTCGAGAAACTTCGGTTTCAAATGTGTTTTTTCGGAAACAAGTTTTAGTTTATTTATTGCATGACCACTTAAAGTCCCACGTTTTGCGATCAATGAACATTTATTTATTTGTACTTTCGGTTCCAGCAAATTTGCCGAAAGTATTCCAAAGAAGTTTGGGGTCAGATACGACCCGTACACTCAAAGTATCAACATAATCGACAGCAAACATCAAATCGAAGATCTCGTATACAACGTGAACCAAGAAGTACAAATTTTGATGGACGCTTTACGGAAATTGAAGCAATAGAGTCGCACGTTTCGTCGATTATCCATGTGAAATTAACAGGTACTATGCGTTGAATTATGACAACGCGTGGGATCATTTATTAGGCGGAATAAAGCGGTTGAAAGCTTAATTAAAACTGGACTGATTTGTACGAAGTTATATCAAAACCATGCCTCTTACGGTATTGAATATAAAAATTTGAAATATACACCGTAGGTCCTGATTTGTGGTACAATCGACGGAGAAACTATGAAAAATACTATGTAAATAAATGAAAAAATTCTAAAATCATTCGCACTTTAGAAAACATTTTATTGCCGGCGACATTATAAACTGGAATTCTTTGACAACCATAAGACTCGATGTGCCTGAGCCAGATCATTGGTGATTCCAAACATTAATCGTTGCAGGCTGATTCCTAAAAATTATAGAACAAAACAAGGTGTCCACAAAATTTTTTGATAAATTTCACCAACATGTGTTTTATCAAACAAACTGGAGTAAAAGTGTTACAACCATAGGCTTCGAAATGCTTCCTTTCCAAGTTACAGTACATTAAATACAGGAAGTTAGGCTTCTCGAGTAAAAATATAAGTTTAAACATTTTTGTAATATCAAATTTTTCATTAATACATTGATAAAATTTAGCTCAAAGAATTTAGGAACACCGTATACATATATGTAGGAGGGAAATTTAAAAATCCTTTCCCTTCCACAAACCCCACTGGTCCACTTGTCGCGTCCGCAAGAACGCAGAATTTAAATTATTTATTGTACAAGTCACCCACCTTTACCATGTAAAATTTACTAACAGCAAGTTCTGAATGTTAACATTAATAATAATGTCGATCTTACATTTCACAGCAGGATACAGCAAAACACACGCGAGTACATAATCAGACACTGAACGTAACACATTAAACAGTCAACTACGAAACATGTTTAGAGCACATTTATACTCTTATACCACATACGTATATAGAGAGATTTAAAAAAGGAATCGGAGAATTCAGTAGCATACAATACTCGCAAGAAATCTAATTAACATGTTCTATATGTTTACTATTTGTATTAACGTTTGAAAATATAGTATGGAATTAAGTAGATTTTTGTTTTGAATAGTTTTTTTTTTGATTGTGTTGTTTTTTTTTAATAGTTATTTATGGATGTTCTACAGAATTCGAAACAGTCTTTGGTTATTTATAATTCACGACACTTGATTTTAAACAATTTTATTTAAATTTGTTTTCCTTATTTGTGTGAGTATTTATGCTCCAAATTCGTGAACCCCTTTTTTGTATCACCCTTTCCCTATTTGTTGTGTCTTTAATATATTCAGTTCGTTAGAACTCACGTATAAAACATCAATATAACATGTCACCATATCAGATATCAGACCTGAGCACCTTTTAATAATTTTAATATACTATTTCAAAGAACAGGTTACTTAATTTTTAAACAGGTTATTTAATTTTTTAAATATGACGCAGCTTTAAAAATTACAATTCTATATTTGAAATGATAAGATAACAAAATATTATTGGAAAGGATGTGTTCTGAAAATTAAATGATCTTTTTACGTCTTTATTATTTCAATTACTTTTAAATAGCGTTGCTCGAAATAAAACATCATAAAATAATTATTTTTTATTATCGTTGAAAGCAAAATTTGCCCAGATCTGACACGTGTTATTTCAGCTACTTGAACACGATATTTATTTATCGTAAGTGCAATGATAGATCACGATAAAAATTGTTCAGTTCAGGGTCGTAATTTTGTGTCGGAACATGCACTATGGCGATAAGTTTAACGTCAGTTTTGACGTCGTAGCAACATTTTTAACAATTTTTACAATAGTAAAGTCGAGATTTATTGGAATAGATTATAAAAATCTATTGCATTACATTTAATGGTTTGAATGTTTCGAAAACTAAATAGAATTTAGTGTGTCTCAGAATTTAATAAGAATAGTGTCATCGTTCTCGTTTCGTGGATTTTAATCAACAAATGGCGCGACGTTTGGAATTTCGCTGTTTCTAGGAACTTTTATTTATTTATTTGCACATTGGATATGTATGTATTGTATATCTTCCAATTTTCGTGTCTTGTACAATCATGAGAGGAAAATTGTCTTAATATACATAGTCCCAGATCAGACACGTCCCTTGCGATTAGTCTTCGCGTTGTATGCATAATCTAATAACAATTACAAAATATAACGATTTCGATACCACATTCACGGTTATAATACACATCGTTCTCTACAGTACCAATACATATGAAAAGTCTATCAATATACATTTACAACAAAATATATTACTTTTTTCCTTTCTCCTCGTGTACATACACGCACGAATATATGTAAATATACCCTGTTTCCGAAAACGCGGGTCCCCGTTTCCTCTAGTCATGTCGTGAACGTCATAACAAAAATAATTAGGCTACCTGGAACGTAACATTTTTCATCGGAGATCAGTTCAAGTAATTCCAGAAGCGTTTTGTACTCTCGTAAGTGAATTAAACTACCCTCTATGACAGTAGGTTCTCAACCTCTTCTTTCTACGAACCCATTCTCAAAATTGCGCGTCAAAATATTAGTTGAATTAAATAGGGGCCTGTAATATTTTTGGATGTCGCAAATTTCATTTTCTAAAGAAATTCACAGTTACCTAAGAGAGGTTATAATCCCTCGGTTCAAGACACAATAGTGACTTCAACACATGAAAAGATTCATTATAGTACAGTAGATATCGTTTCAAATTACGGAAAGGGTAAAATTAATATTTTTTAATGTAACGTTTGAAACAAAAAATAAATATTTAGTATAGAAATTCGCGGAGCCCCCCTGGGATCCGTAGTCCATAAATTGAGAACCACTGCTCTATGCAATCCATAAAAAACTTCGCATACAGATCGAACTGAAACTTAAACAAAAATTAAATCGTTGTTTGTGCTACATAAATTTGTTTTAAAATTCACTTTTCACGTTTAAACTAATTTTTTTTCATACTTTTGCATTTTCTTAATATTCGATTTCTTAAGTTCTCATTTATTCCTGGCATTTACTTAAATATTGAAATTTAAATACATCCATAACAAAAATCTAATGAAAGCATTCCAGAGCAATTTAAAAAACTGCTACTTTCAAGATACATCGAACATAAATTAAAAAGAATTTTGTTAGCTACGAATTTTTAAGAATATTTTCCATGCACGTGTGAAAGTTAAAAAATATTGCTTTTCATTGAACTTCGATAACGAATCTTTTTCCATGAAGCGAAATGCAACTACTTTCGCGAACGTATGCGAAGTTTTTACGCGAACTATGCGGACGGTGAAGTATAAATTTAATCGTTTGATTTCAAGCACGTTGGCGGACGCTCTTCGTAACATGGCTTTCGATTTCGCTTACCACTTGTCACAGCCCTGCGCGGAACGAATGAAAGTTTAACCGAACTCCATCGAACGATTCGTTTGTTAATCGAACAAAGATATGTACTAGGAAATTTTTCACGATCCGTCCAATTTGCGTCACGATTGGGAGATCTCGTTCCTCGGAAAATATAAAATCAAGCTCGGTAATTCGTTCTATGGTAACAGACGCGGACACAGTCGTGGAAAAATGGCCGTCTCGCGTGTCTAACGATTAGTCTCGCGAATCGTGTACTGGGCGAGTATTTTGTTTCTAGGTTTCGATGGAATGTGTGACGGAATGCGATTCAATTCTGAGAAGGTCCCTGTTGCTGTCTCGCGGCTGGCTCGATGTCGTTGTACAGCATGTCCGTTTGGGGTGGACAGATTTGGAAAGGCACGAGATCTGGAGGGTTTCCGTTCTGCTGCGTCGGTTCCGGTTGCTGCGATTGGATCATCGTACCGACGTTCCCTTGGGCCGTGGTCGACACTATTGGCACTGGACTGACTGGTAACGGTTGGGAAAACAATTCCGTGGATACTATAGGCACCGGAACCGTGATCGGCAACGAAAGGATGTTTACACCCTGTATGTTGCTCGACATGGGCAACTGCACGTTCGAATTATTCGTGTTGCATCTATTCATTTGCTGGCACGTGTTTGTAGCATTGTACGGTATTCCCGCCTGGAACATTACATCAAACACTTTATCGATATCCTTCCAACCGATTAACGCTTTCTAACAATTTCATTCGAACTTTTATAATGCAATATTGAAATTCACACTGGGAAATCTGAGTACAGTGAAACATGGGTACCGCTTACATCTGTGATTATTAACAATTTGGCAAGACTTAGAATTGACATTTAACAAAGATTTCATAAGAAAAAATAATTTTCTACTTGTTTTTCGTTTTTTTAATTTTATAGCGTAGAGGTAAATTGAAATACCACTTATTCGAAATTGTTCGTATCTTACAATTAGTCGAATCGTTACTTTGCGTCGTTTTTCAGTTAGACCAAAATTTCAGATCCTTTTTGATTTTCATTGTTACCAAAAGTTTGAAATTTATTAGTTTCCCTATGATGTTAAATAATTCTATTTGTTCCCATTTTGTATTCATCCTAGACAAACTGGTCTTCGAGTAGGCGCGTATTTCACAGTACATTAGCATACGAACAAGTTTGATCGCGGTCTGTGTGTGTCAGTGTTCTAGAGGACGTTCGCGAGTAAACAAGTTGTACACCAGAGTACCGCGTCACGTCGTAATTTTCTTCGTGATAGTCTTCGGGGAAGTGTGTGTACTTAAAATATGTACATATTACTAAAATTGTCAACCCTTTCGCTGGGAAACTCGACTTATTTTTGTCTACTTCGAACGTCGGTTTGTCCGTTTAAAAAGCTTTTACCGAGATTTGCGCGAAGTTTGAACGAATATCAACGATTTCGTAGGACGTAATGCGTGTTTGTAAGATACTTGCATTGAGCAATGGCGATAAGATTCCGTATCTAGCGATAAACAGTTGTTCCGACACTTTCCTGAGTTCCTCCTGCTGGTGCACTATCAGCTGCTGCAGTTCCTCGTGTTTGCGTTGCAGCTCGTCTTGGATTTGATTCTGCACCGGTGTCATCACGATACCTTGCTGATGCAACATCTGCAATTATTCGCAGATAGTACAGTGTTTAATCACGAAATGAAAAGTCTTCAAATATATTTTCTCGGATCGAGTATTCGACTTATTCGAAGAAGTCATTATATTTATCAAAAACTAGTTAACTTTACGCTAGTACACGCAATCGACATACATAAATGTATTATTATTGATTGAAAACGAACCGATCAGTGTATTTTATTACCTCGTGGGTCGGAATGGTCGAAATAATCGGCGCGGTTGGAGTCGTGAAACTCGTACTGACCACCGGTTGCAAATTAATCGTCGCGTACGGCGCCTGTTCCATAAAGCCTATACAACTCTGATCGACCTCGAACTGAGATTGTTGCTGCGGTTGTTGTCTGTTGTCGATCGGGCCGATCTGAGCCTTCGAAGCTACCAAATTATTCGACGGGGCGACCTTCGATCGCGAGACTCGCGTTATTTGCGAGTGCGAAGAGCTTTGTATGGAAGTGGATATCGAAGAGCTATCAGAACTTTCGACTTGATGTCGCGATCGTGTGTTCGACGCCACCGATTTCGACGCGTTGGGCGATTTCGCCGGCCATTGGGTCGACGGAACAGGACAGGACGTCGTTACCTGTAAGTTTAAACCCATTTCAGATTTTCGTTAGTAAATGTAACATTTTATAAAATCAATCTTCTCGATTTTCTTACGTTTCAAACTTCGTACTTAAAGATTTTTAGCACATTAAGAAATTGCAACGCAATTGTAAATTGTATTGTAGATAACGTAATACGTGTTTTTAACTATAAATACTTTCGAAGCACAAATAAAAGTATAATGGTCTGACTAAAGATTCTTTTTTCGAACTCGAATTGCACGATTATGGTAAAATTTTGTTGAAACAAGAATTTTTGCGAGTCTTACGAATACCGTGCTCTGGACAACGTGGGACAGATAAGACCCACGAGACGCGAACGGAAAGTCACCGAAAATTGATCAGAAAAATATAAAAATTCGTTACGCGTCATTCACTTAAGAAATGGACATAATCGATTAGATTCACCTGTTGTTGCTTCACCGGGATCAGAACGTCCTGGTTTTGGTTCTTGTTGAAGCTCGCCGACTCCTTGCGCAGTTCTTTAATCACGTCGATGTAATTAACGACATAATGAGTGCATACGATAAACTCCGGCTTCGAGTTCCACTGATTGTACGTGATGTAGAATCTAGTCTGTAACCAAATCCACTGCTGGCCTTTCGTGAGGAACCTGTAATAGCAGGAGGTTCCTTCGCCTTTCTGCATCACTGTAAACGGGTATTCTTTGATTTGAAATCCAAGTTATCGTCTATTAACCGGGACACTTACGTGATTCGTGGCAGGTAACAACCTTGTCCAAGTCGTCCACGTGGTAATAATCGTAACCGGATGTGCCCAGCACTTCGAACGGCAGGTAGCCGATGATGGGAGGCGCTCGATGATCCAGAAACAGAAATTTCCACTCGAGACTATGGCGGGACGTGAACTCTGACTTGGTGTTGTCCATCACGGACAATTCCCGGATCAATTGTGGCGTGTGGAGCCGCCCTGTGCCCACGAAAACCAATCTGAGGGGACACAAAGAAGAGTGGTAAAATTAGCCCGATTTTGGACCATGCTACCAAGGAAAAATTTTATCAGAGTATGATTCTATCTTTAAATCTTCTCTTTAGAGTATGAAATATATAATTATTTATCCGGGAAGTGATAAGGAAAGTTATTAAAAATAAGCGTAAAGTACTCTCCGTAATACTTACCCGGTTAATGTATTTCGATAATTTATTCTTCTGATGATGGTCCATCATCAAAATAGTTATTTAGAAATTCAGCAAGCAAATTAGATTATTGTTGCGTGAAACCCACACGTATGTCCAATAATATTTTTTAATCCATTTTCATTTTTATCTAATAATATAATATGTACTTTAGGAAAAGAATTTTTTTCTTGAAAGTGCGTAGGATTTCGAGGGTATGACTATTGACAAAAAATAATTATAATTGACCTCCACAACTAAAAATAATTTTTCCAGAAGCATTTGAAATTTTTTTTTTTCGCCGACATCTACTCGAATTTTTTTCTCGAAAGTGCGTAGGATTTTGGGGGTATGTTTAATGACCAAAAATGATTGTAATTGACTCCTGCAACTGAAAATAATTTTTCCAGAACGATTTAAAATTTTTTTTTCGTCGAAAAATGTCTCCACTGTCGATTTTTTTTAAATATTCGTTTTCGATTTTTAATAAATGTGTTTGGCGCTGTACGGAAATGTTGTCTATTACTTATTTGTAGATATCTATGTGCTCTACTTCAGAAATAAATTACATTGAAATATATTCACTATAGTAGGAGTTAAGATCGTTTGAAAATTAAACCATTTTTATGGTGTTTCTCTCACTTTACGTGGTTTAGGAACAACTTTTCCAACATTCTTAGAATGTCTAAATATTCTGCACCAAAATACGCATTGTTTGTATTTTGAAACATTAAAATCCTCCAATCCGTTCCGGAGTTATGATTTTTTATACAAAATATTTAACAGTGTTCGAATGACGTATATTATTGGATATACAAATATATCGAAATATGTATGTATATGTTTAAATATTTTAAATTCAAATAATGTTACCTTTTAGTCAAACATGTAAATATTGCTACTTATTGTGAATATAATGTTGGTGCATGGGTAGACTATTCTTACTCTTACGTAACCATAATTTTATAATTTTTTTAATATACTTGGCACTAAGTTACGAAGAATTTTTCTTCTATTATTTAAAGTGATTATTTTACTGATAAATTACCTTGCAAACAATATTTGAAAGTTAATGTTTATGTTTAATAACTTTCCCATCGCTTCCCGGATAAATAATTGTGCATTTAATATTCTTTAGGAGATATAGAATCATACCCTGATCAAATGTTTTGTTGTCAGCATGGTCCAAAATCGGCCCACTTTTACCACCCTCCTTTATCGTGGATCTTATCGGGAGACATCGTCGATTTAATTTCGAGTACAGTAGAACGCCGATTATTTGGACGACCAATTTTTCCTGTACCACAAATTCAAAATTACACTGTTTATTTATCTTACGAGCGAGGAAAATATTATTGAACGTTTTCACATTTATGGAATAATACAAACATATTTATCCAGCAAGTTTTTTTCAAGTTTAAAAGGGGTTGCTATAATTCGAAGAACGAGCAAAAACAAGAACTTATTTGAATAAAAAAATTACGAGTAGTGGAGATAATTAATGGACTCCTATTATAAGAACCTACCCGGTTATATGAACTGCTTGTCTCCCGTCGGGCTCATTTAAGTGAATTGTCCGAAAAACTGAACGCCAGAACGAATTTCTCTCCTTATTAGTTCGTATAATCGACGTTCTACTGTATTTTGTTAACGTGCAAGGAAATTACTTCATATCTAGTCCACCGGTGTTGCCATACTTGGTGTTTGGGAGCAAAGTATCTACCTCTGCATCAACATCGGACCCTGTAATTAGTGGAAGACAAATCTTTATGTCTTATTGCGTGAAATTCGACGCTGTAAGAAATTTTGTTAATTACGTACGAAAATATCCGACGAATTGTACGAGTTCGTATACTGGGTTCTCCTGAACGTTCAATCCACCCCTTTTAATGTGACACGAGAAAGATATTTGATCCCCTGTAAATGCGAATGGTTAGTATTCTATTTACACAGTTAGTTGCAAGAGATCCTTTTGATTAGAATATAAAACAACTTTGTGTAATAATTTATTCTGTAACGAAATATATTTTACAGGAATATTTCGCCAAATAAGTTTTATTCCAGAAATAGAAATTTTTTTGTAATTATTCATCTCATATTTATGTTTTGTTTCAGGGGAGGCATAGGAATCCGTAACATACATAATATATTTTTGGTTAATCTGTTAAAATATTTTTACAAAATACTACATTACTAAAAATTCCTGAAAGTGTCCAAAATCAGTGTTTATTAATTTACTGTTTCGATTTGAAGGACAGAATTCGAATTTCTGTCAATACATTCCCAAATTCTACGAAGTGTTGCAGAATTAGAGAAAATAGTGGATTGCATTCAGATTTAGTGAAAGGAATTTTCTCAGATTCTTGACCCAAGTCACTTTGATAATTACTGGCACATACGAGGACGTACCCTTTTCAATATTTCGCCGATCTCTCGTGTTGGCAGGATTCAGTAGGACGTTGTAAAGGGGAGACTGGTCATCCTGATAAGTAATATCATAGATGGTCGTGTTTTCCAGTTCGTTTGGGAGATACCCAAGTAGAGATGTAACACTTTCAGACACGTAATAAATGTGCCCGCTTGAAGAAAATACCATTATAAAACCGTCCAGAGCCTACATTAAAGAAATGTCGCTTGTGTTTTCATTACTAAAAACTTTAGTCAACGCGTAGTTGAAATTTGAACTGTAATTTTGTTCCCATATCAGCACGGTACACTATCGACCATCAGTTTTGCTTCACAGAAATTCAGCAACTCGCAAAGCTTTCGATATCGTTCAAACGTTCTATTCGTTTCTAAAAATAATTACTTTCATTTCACAATTTTGATATCTCTCTTGTACCATTGCAATAGTGTCGCTGTTTTAACTGGTCACTTGTAACAATGTTTGGCACTTATGGTCGCTAGTGTACGTTGCTCTCAAACCGAAGGCAAAACGTTACAGGTCCACACGGCAACCAGAAAATCATTTCCATGAGGTTTTCACCCTCTCATGATATTTATACTCTGATTTCTATTAAAAATATTTTTGTAATTAATATTACTCCAGCAAAAACAGATTAACTTCACATAATAAAGGAAGCGTTTCTTTCCTTGCTTTAAATCCCGATTTTTATAACTTTATCTTTCTCGTCGGCTGCGAATTTATAAATTCCAACGTCGGAAGTTCAGATTAATTTGAAAAATTTATTAAACGTTTTGAGCGGTCAAACATTTCAATTAGTTACACTGTCCAACAAACTGGACAGTTGGGCAGTGTAATTAGTATTGTTTGCTCTATGATGGCAATTATACCTCTAATATGAGATGCGTGAATTCTTCGTTGGATAAAAATGATGGTTTCCAATCTTCTTGGATTTCGTGCACCCTCGATCGTACAGCTATTTCTGCAAGTATTTGTACATTTAAGATAAATGTAATGTAGAAGGTAATGCCCCCACAATATTTATATTGTTCGAATTATACGGACCATTATGGTTTCTCAGGAATAGTATTGTGGATTTTAATACGGTAGACTTGTCCATTTTTCGCGCGTTCGAACCGACCATGCTTCCAAGCTCGTTCACGAGCATGTTGAACTGATCTCGGCGCTTCTTCTCGCTTAAATTCCGGGATTTTCTAACGTTTAAAAATGGATAATTAATGACACGTTAGGAGGCTTGTAACTTAGAGTGAAACTTATTAATTGCTCACCGTTTTGTGTCATCCTTATCGTCAATATCATCGTCCATTGTGTCACTGAACATGAAAGTCGTATTAATTTATTTTTCTGTTGATTATCATTTTTAAAAAAATTAGTAATTATAAACAAAAATAATAGAGGAAACTATTGGCGCGAATACTATTTTTAATATTACTTCCTAAGATAGTTTCTTTTATTTAATATCGGATACCTGCTTTCTGTCAAACTGTTTGAATTCAATTCATAATATAATTTTAATCTAATAGATTTGCATATTACAATTTAGAAATTTTATTCACCTTTATCATATTAGTCTTGGTTTGAAAATGGTTCCACCGTGTTGCATGAATGTTTAACAACAGATCTAACGAATTTGTATGTTTTGTGGTATTTTTAAATTGCTACTATTTTTATTCGAAATTATGAATTGTGTCAAAATTTTTCTTCATCGAATCGTGTAGCAAGATTATGAGTTTTCTTCCAAACCGAGCCACGTGCTTGAAAAGATTCTGAACCATTGACATAGAGAAACATGTGCGTTGCTATCGAATCAATATTACGGTTCGTGTATTGTGTAACATGTTTGGCAATCAATACTGGTAAGGACAAGGGTGCCTCGAGCGATTGTCGAAAGCAATATTTTGCAATCTGATTTTGTTAAAAAAGAATTACTAATTATGAAAGAATTTAAGAGATAATTTAATAAATTAACCATTACAATGATGGATATAAGAGGTAGGGGGTTATAGGAGTTTAAATCCCTCCTTCATTGTCCAAAAAACAATTTCTTTATTCCTTGACAAATGAACAGTCATCAAAACATTAATATTTCTATTTTTAATTCCTAGGGGTGGTATTTTCACGATTTTTTGTTAGCTACCCCTTTTGACTTTTCTTAGAACTTGTTCGTTAAATAAGGAAGAAAAACTAACTTAACTTCTAACCTTGTGAATGGTCAAAATAGCAGACATAAAAAGTTTTTAATTTTCGTGGACGATTTTTTTACTCCTTTATTTTATTTTTACACATACATTTGTAAGCATAATAATTGAGAAATAAAATGTAATATTAATTCAAGCACAGTGATTGTTGCTATCATCGATTAATTCAACAATGAAAGTAAACAACAAAACAAATACAATAATACAATGTACGTAATTTGGAGCGATGTAACGCGATATAAAGTATAATTTGATTGCAGTAAATCGTGTCCCGAGCGTCACTAAGCGCTCTAAAATATTGTCGATTACATAAATCAGAGTAATCGATAGTAATTGGGTGTCAGAGAAGCATAAATGAAACGTTTATCGGTCGAGGATCTTGGTGCATGCGTTTACGCTCGAAATCACCGCAACGCGCCGAAAATCGAAGATCGACTCCGGATGAATAAACTATGAATGTCTCTGATGCTCAATTTTAAAAAAAGAAACACTGTCGAACGAACTATTAACAGTAAGAATAAACTATAAATATCTTTGACCATCGATTAACTATAAATTAAAAATCAAAACATTGTCGTAATAAATTACTCGCGATAAATTAAAAAAAAACACACACACTGTCAAAGCAAAATATTAAAAGTCGACTCCGGACGCGCCAGTAACGAAAAAACTATAAATATCTCTACCGATCGATTTGCGATAAATTGAAATAAAAAATCGCCGTCGAAACGAGCGTGTGAGATGTATCGAGACGGCTCGAGCAATCGAACATTCGAGGTGAGAGTCGAGAGCATCGAGATTGGAGGAGCGCCGAACGAAGTATGTCGAACAGTCCAAGATCGAGTAACGTTTAATGGGCGGTTATTATCGCGTGACACTCACTCGGATTGCCTGGACGTGCGTCCTCGCGAATAACTCGCCATGTGAGTCGATCCACGTATGTTGTCACGCGGTTCAGATCGCCCGATCCTCGCTCCCTCGGGACTTTCCCTCCTGGCTGCACGTAGGCCGCGTCGAATAATTCACTTGTTCGGGGTGACACTTCCTCGAGCAACATCGACACATTTTTCACCGCGTTTTCAAGCCCGATCACGCGCGCGTACCGATTTTTTCCGACTCTAACGATCGGTCGGATCAGCCTACGTGCATACGTTGCGACGCTTGCGTGCGACTTTGCAATGGAAGGTTGCGCCGTCTGAAGTTGCATCGACTCCGGGAGCGGAAGAACGCATGCTCGAATTCGAAGCTAGGAATTCCATATTTCCACCAAGCATCCGTCAAATCGCAAGCTCGGTTTAAACTCTTGCAAAATGTTCACCTATCTCGCGGAACGTGCATTAATAATTTAAGAATTTCGTTTTACTGCACTATATTTTTTGTCCTTGTAAAACACCATGGTTTCAAACGCTTAATTCGATGGTTATTAAATAATTTGATTGCAGAAAAGAAAGACATTCGATTTGAGATATTGTAATTTTGTTACCGATAGAGCTATTTGGAGTCGAGAGGAATGGCTTGAATGTAATCGATATTTTATTGTACGGTTTGCTTTCGTTTCGTGGTATTACGTGGTGGCTGGACGCGTCGATGGAACAGTGAAACTGTTGCCAACTTCAAGTGGAATTTTCATGGACGGATCATGGACGCATTTTCCGATAGTGCGCAGTCGCGACTGTCGTTACGCTGCCATCACGGAACCTCGTATGCAAGTCGAAGTGAGCGGCCAAGGCACACGATCATAGCTAGAGCTGGATTGGCCAGTGTACGTTGCACTATTTAGAACGTTGCACCAATCGTGGTATGCAGTTTCTAGACACTGGTCTCTGTCGCCTGGCGCTCGGCGACAGTCGCGATTCGCGAGTGTGGCACGCGACCACGGAACAGAGGCACCGAGAAACGTCATTCCGGAGGCCAAAAGACAATTTTTCAAATTTTATTTATTCATGAGACCAACCCTTCAACACAGAGAATAACAGACATTAGCATCCAAAATTTATTTATTCTCAAGGGAAAAATTCTATAAAAAAAAAAGATAATCAGGTTTACAATTTATGATTAAATTATGAGTATTTCTATTTTATACACTATACATATTGTTTATATGTAAACTGTTTTCCACCTTGATTGTAAAAATATTACTATATTTTCTCTTGTACAGTAGAAGACAATTTTTCAAATTTTATTTATTTACGGGACGAACAGAGAATAACAGACATTAGCATCCAAAATTTATTTATTCTCGAGGGAAAAATTCTATAAAATACAAAGATAATCAGGTTTACGATTTATGATTAAATTATGAGTATTTCTATATTATACACTATAGGTATTGTTTATATACAGGGTGTTCGGCCACCCCTGGGAAAAATTTGAATGAGGGATTCTAGATAATTTTCGGTTGCGGGGGTCAATTATAATCATTTTTTGTGAACACACATACCCTCCAAATCTTACCCACTTTCTAGAAAAAAATTCGAGGTGTGAAATTTTTCGTCGGAAAAAAAAATTTCAAATCGTTTTGGCAAAATTATTTTCGGTTGCGGGATTCAATTACAATCATTTTCTGTGAATAGACATACCCCCGAAATCTTGCGCATTTTCGAGAAAAAAATTCAGTACGGGCGGAACTTTAAACGTCAATAACTTTTTAACGAAGCCTCCATCAACAAATTGGTATTCTTGATTTTCGTCTTATTTTGGCCTCTAGAACCTCCCATTAAAATTTTTCTCAGGGGTGGCCGAACACCCTATTGTATAGGCACTGTTTTCTACCTTGATTGTAAAAATATCAGTATATTTTCTCTTGTACAATAGTCCTGATCGAATTTTGCAAATAAAACTTGTTTAAAGTGTCGAGTTTTATAACATATTTGAAAATCATCGAGTATCATCGAGGTATCCCCTATTCCGAATAATTACTTCAACGAGTTGCTGCATTGCGTAATGTCGTATATTTTTGTTCGATTACGCAGATATTTTGTTACGCAAGTTCCGATTGTAATCCCGAAATTTCAATGAAGTCGAAACGATTGTTGTTTTAGCAGGTTTAAGTCTACATCTCTCATAATGTTGGAAAATAGAGTTACGATTAAACATTAAACGAGTTACTTGTTTAGACCCATCACTAGTATCGTTGGCTGCACGGTTCGTCGACAGCTTTAGAATTGCAATCTACTCGTCTCCACCTGAATAAAATAAAGGACAAGGGAACGAAGGGGTCAACGAACAGAAACATGGACGCATAAATTTTACATGTTTATTATTTATAGTGTACTCAGAAATGTCGGGCCTCAACCAGTGGGCCTCCTCTTTTTTTTTTTTCTTTTGACATATTTGATCAGTAAACATCACAATGTTAATTTTCCTCTAGTCCGTACAGTTTTTTTTTTTTTTATTTCTTCTCTCTATTAAAAGTGACGCGCAAGCTGCTCGTATTGTTTCGTGAACCGTGACATCGAGACCTACGCGTTTTGATTTGAACGCCACGCGTGGACGCGTGTCCCATTTATTTTTTTTATTTTTCGTTTCTTTATTTTCTTTTTTTTTGTATGACGTTGATTTCGCGTAGAACCGGCCAACGGAGTCGAATCGAGGAAACATTCGTCCTCATCGTTTTATTTCCCCCTCTCTTCTATCGAAACGGACATTCTTTGCGATTCGACGAAAGAATAAACGCCGAGAAAAGAAAATTAATTTCACTGATCCGTCACGAGCAGATTGTGCCTCGCGAAAAATAGTAATTATCCAGCTTCACGGTTCTTGGTTTCTCCACCCATAACTCAACATGCCAGCATATTCGTATAACAAAACATCGAATATAACAACTGCATAGAAAAAACAAAACGAAAAGAAACGATCTATCTTAGTCGCCAACTGTTCGAGTTGATGAATTTTCGGTCTGCGCGTTCGATGGCCAATAATATTCATATATATATCCTATATACGTATCCGAGTGTGAAATGTGGTTCGTCAGAACGCAACTTAGTATTAGTAACCTCGCATATTACAAAAGTTGTCGTCGAATTTGAACTCGGTTATCTTTGACAATTAGAAAAAACGCATCGTTATTAGTATTCTCTCTCTTTTTCTCTCACTCTATTTCTTCATCCCTCTTCCGTTTCAATTTTACTCTTATTTCCATATCGGGCCGACATTCGAGGAGCTTCTAAAAGTGACGGGCATAAAAATAGGACAGAAAGGATCAGGGGAGCAACCAGGGTAGGAGCAAGAGGGCAGGGAATCGGGAAAGGGGACTGACTTTCCTTTTCTCATTTTATTCGTATTATAGTAACCAACCACCCCCACTGTACACGCTTCTGCTCGACTCTTCGTCCTTTTTCGTGGACATTGAAAAATTAGGATACGCACGCGTCGCGCGTCCAAGATCGAAACGCGAAAGGAAGGCTGTGAGTGGCCACGTGTAGGGAAACGCGGACGTCGATCGTCCTTCATCGTCGATCTATCATTTCGTTGCGCTCTTCGACCGTCCCGTTTCGATCTTCGACTCGACGAATTGAAAAATTCACCGCCGCTCGGTCGTCGAACGGGAAGATTCACTTCCCCTGTTCCCTCTTCTCTCTCTTGTTAAACGTTTCCCTCGCGTTTCGCGTCCAGCTATCGCATTTGGGATCCGTGGAAACTCGAATAGCGAGTATCGAGGCGGACGAATCGAACGTTCACGATCGATTGGTCGAACGGTGGTTCGCTCGACGACCGATCGCGGCGGCCGCACGCTAAGAAAATCGGCGCGGAAGCGGACGGTGGCGCGCGGGTACGTCCTTTTTGTTCACGAAATTCTCGTTAGAATTAGGAATCGAGGGGGACTCAATATTCGAAAAAACCTTGGTAAAAATATGTGCTTGCGACCCCGCGCCACTCGGCTCACCGACGCTTCTGGCCCACCTTAATTAATTCTCTTAAACCTCCGAAAACACTTCGTCCAGCCTTGGCGCTATACGAAATGATCGTTACAGTATCCATATTATATATATATATATTTATATATATATATATAATATATATATAATACATATATTATATTCTACATTACATTACTATGTTCGAAAAATAATATTACAATATATAGTGTGTGTTGTTATGTGTATTATCATTTTTTTATTTCATTTTTTTTTTGTTTGTTATTATTCTTATTCCTCCTCTCTTCCGCGATAGCGTACGCCTCTTACCTATCGCTTTCACTTTTTTTTATTCTCTCTCTTTCTCTCTTTCTCTCTTTCTCTCTCTCTCTTTCTTTCTCTCGCTCTCTCTCGCTCTCTCTCTCTCGCTCGCTCGCTCTTTCTCGTTTTTTTTTTTTGTTTCGCATTGTGTATCTTTTTTGTCCCCTATTTTTACGCGCGGTAGTACCTAAAATTTACAATTAGTTTATAATCGACGACCCGATGCTACTGAGAGCGCTGGTAAACCTACGGATGAGAAGACTTACACGGTACGAAGCGACGGGCTCGAAGTCTGCGTTCCCCGGTTCCCTCGAACGATTGTATAAAATTACTCTATCTCGCGGGTAGTAAGTCTCGATAGAAACGGCGCCCACTGTCGGTTACAAAATTCGTCTCGCCGCGACAACGAATCTCACGTTCTCCACCACGGAATGCCCTATAAGATTTATATTCAGCGTGAAACGTGGTGCTTCTCTCAGTAGTACGCGGCGTCACGTTTTTACCAAATCCATTTGGTGTGTTTTGTGTGAATGTAAAACCGCTAGGCGCTCCTCGTCTCATTCTCATCGTTTAATTTGAATAACAACCATTTTTCATCTTTTAAATTTGTTTTACTAAATATATCACAAACTGCCGGTGGCTAGTGGAGTCCTCGAGTTCACGTCGAACGTCGTTCGACGCGCGTCGATGTTTATCACGTCTTTACGTCGTACGAATTTACGCGTCGAATGAAACGTTTGGCGTGAACCGGTCGGGCTACCACCGGAAAAATATAACGTTAAGGAGGTTACATGTTAATAGTTACATCACTGTCGGAAGACGCAAGGTTCCGGAGGGTTTTCGGGTGTACAGTCTTGCTTGAGAAGCGCTCACCGGGAACCCTTCGGTCTCGTCCTCAACGTACGGTTAGTTTAAGTTTTGTCGAACTAGTAATTTTCCGTTTATTATGCTGCCACAGAACATTCACTTTAGTCGTAAAACTGTAAATACCTTTAT